CGTCTCATCTAAGCAGAACTGATTCGGTGCAATTGCAGGAACTCGGTCGTCGATATCCGATCCCGTGTCAACTTCAGTCCCGTAATTAGCTCAAACAATGCCTTGGAGTTGATCCTCATTCTCGGTAATTTCGCCTTTGCCAACATAGAGCCTTTCATCAAACGCAAACCGTACCGAGCAGAGCAGCCGCCTGCATCTGGATGGCGATGAAGCGAGTAACTTGGGAGAAGTATGGATACTTGTAGAAGATAACCAAGAGCGCCTTCTTTACTTGGTATGCATGTGCATGAGGATTACAGCGGGTCCTTCCTTTTTACATTGTCTTGTCCTTTGTTTCCTATTCTCCAGGTTCCTTCCTGTTCCTGGCTATCGTCGCTTATCGGGAGGTGAGGCAGATTAGATTTTTGGCGGCAGTAATTTCTGGTGGAGAGCAAAACTAGCTCGCCGAGATCTTCAATGTGCTTCTGTCATGCTCGCCGCCGGGCTGTAATACCTCAATCACTGCCGAATGATGCTGGCAGAGGGAAGTACCCAAGTGACACTCACTGACCAATGATCCTCACCTTCCATCGGTGTTATGCAGTATAGCGGTAGCTACTGCCCATTTTCACCATCAATTATCTGCCTAGAAATTTAGCTTCCCTTTGGAAGGAGCAACTTCTGCAGTGAATCGTACATTGATGTCGCCTCCTCGCACGTCTTCTTGACAATTCGTCAGGATGAACCTGGCTGCCCATCTCATCTCCATACCCCATTCGAACAACATCGAATGGCTAGTAGTGCCTCGCCCAGGAACTTATCCCCATTCTGATCATTTCTCAATATTCAAGTTTCCCCGCCCCTGCATATGAATTGCCTACACAATAGTACCCGAGTCCAGATCACTTCGATAGCTTCTTCTTCCCGCCCTCCTTGACACCCTAAAGCCACATGTGCAGCCTCTTGTTCTGTAAAGAAAACTCCCAATGACAAACATCGCCAACTGCATCAACGAAAAATGCCCGGGATAATAACTGCAGCCCCCAGAGCTTCGGAAGCTCCGTTCAAACACGTAAGTCTGTCTGATTTCCTATCCCAATTCCAATTTCAATCTCGCCCAGCTTGCTCGGAGTTCAGTCCGACGGGCGCCCCACTCTCAGTGCTAAGGAGCGGCCTTCGACGCTAAGGAGGCCTTTGAAAGGTCTTTCGATTTCGGTGCCCCTTACCGACCTTGCCCGAACATCGATGGCATTGTCTAATACGGGTATCTCCTCTCTGACCATTGCCTACTCACCTGCAAAGTCATCAATATTAGCGGCCCGCTGGCTAGCCATTGTTCTGATGGGAGCTAGGGGAGGGAATCCAGTTCGTTTTGGCTAGCCAGCACGGCTACGAAGCCTGGGAGCGCCTGGACCGTCGAACCCTACTCTCGCACTGCATAAAGAGTGGCTGGATGGGGTCTCTTGTGTTCGTGCAATTAAGCGATGCTGGTTGATTCTTGACAAACGATTACTTTCCCCAAAATACCCTCTAAATGTACGTGCTAAGCTTATTAGGTAGAGGTAAACGAAGCGAAAACGCAGACCGTCAACCAAGGAAGTCGGGAAAAATCAACTGAAAAGGGCCCGAATAGCGCCGACATGAATGCTGCAAGGCCGCAGAAGGAAAAGTAAAAACGGCCATCAAAAAAGCAACCACACGGGCAAGAACAGGATTTGGGCCAGGCAATCATCGCCTGGCACTTCGTACGCTACGACGGTCGTGAGTAATAATCAGTCACCGTGCAATTGCAACTATTTGCAACTGCAACGCAACCTGCAAAATGGCCAGCGACCAGAGCCCCCCTAACAGAGAGCAGAACCCATACTATTGTATAGATCCCATTGCCTGTGCTCCAATATCCGTCGGTCCCACACTCCGGGAGATGCAGAAGCTTTGGCCAAGCCTGGTTCTCGTCCCTGATATATTCAAGCGAAGAGGTGACAAGGTGTCCCGACGACTACATCCGCAATGGAATGAGTAGTCACGGATACCCCAAGTGGCGAGGAGTGGCAGTGCCTTCTTCCAGTCGGGCGACGGCCGAGCGGCCAGTCTCGACCTTCGAAATGCAAATATGAGAGAGTCCTCACTAATAGAGTCTGGAGAGAGTGCCTTTCAGCTTCCCAGAACAAAAGCTACCCTAATCGGGTTAGAATTCCTGGTACGCTATGCTTCCATGGGCTGACAGTTTACCATCGCGTTGCTACCAATTCCGGTGACAGCCGTCTGGTCTCCGCTTCAAGCTCCCCCCCCCCCCCCCCCCCCCCCGCGCGCGAAGACACGCGACCTAGTGCTCCCTAAACACGATTTTCGACCTCATTAGAGGCTCACCTCTGGTGAACACGCGACTAGATTATTGACTCAAGAGTCCAGAGCTCAAAGGTCGAGCGCGTCAATTCCAAGGGAAATCGTCCCCATTCCTACGCTAGACCTTGAATCCTTTGTCTCGACCTCTCCCGTCGAGGCAATGGTGGTTGAGACACCTTCGCTACAATGAGGACTCTACTATGAGGTAGTAGTGCCTGCGTCGGCCTGGTCTGCAGTCAGCAGGAGTATCATTCTTCTAGAGTCCTAGCGTAGGGAAGTAGTGTCCTGGTGGCAGAGCGGCAATCGAGTAGTCAGGCCAGACTAGACCAGGCGGGCCAAAGTTGGTGGATTGGAGACTGCAATGCTATTGTTCATTGACCCGTCGACCCTCCCCACCTTCAAGCAAGCTCCTGCTCACGCCCACTGCTTTCGTACTAGCAGAGTACGAAATAAGTAATACCAGGTTGAGCGATATCCTTTACTTTTGTGATCTGCACTGCTACTGAACTGGTGTTAGCGCACCCTCCCCTGTTCAGTAGTAGTTCCCCACAGGGCCCCCCTGGTCTCCCGTCCATTGCATCATTGCGTTCGGCGAACAGACCCAAGCCTGCCTCTTAAGTCCAGGCAACCGATCAGCTCACACCCTTGGCGTGCTACCAACTCGCCACTGGATCAGCACCTCCAGATGAGCTGCAAACAGAGAGGTCCGTTGAGGTCTAAGTCCGTCCGTACCATACAGAGCCCTGCACTACGAACGCCCACTTTTGTTCTTTTCAATGCCTGCTCTACTACCCTTCTGCTTTCCTTCTTGGCGTTGGCATCCTCGATTCATAAATCATGGGAGAAATAGGTCCCCTTTCCAAATTCATTGCCTCTTCACTCCGGCCAGGCAAAGTTTCCAAGAAGCTTGCGTGGGGAAAAGCTGGAGGCTCTTAAACGCGGCCTGGCGAGAGCCATCAACCCCTTCTCTTGTCTGAGACTATCTCCTGTGAACCATTGCTGCGTTAAGACAAGGGAATCATGTTTTCAACGGCTTGGAACATGAATACACCCCCCCACCCCCTTCTCCCCGTCAGTACCGTCTCTACACGTACCAGCTTCTCAAGGGCTTGGCCATAGCTCCTCTCTGAGTTCCCAAGTGGAGCTCAGTCCCAATGGTCTCCGAAAATCCCCAGGTCTACTCAAGGAAAAAGAAAGCAAGAAAAGAAAAAGGAAGCAACACCATCAATAGGGGGATCGGGAGAACGAAAATGGATCCCCCGAAGGTCTATTGACTTAGGTGAGAGCAATGGCATTTGCAGCCAGAGACCTACTCTGACAACGATACACATATGACCGAGCACCCTCTTGGTTCAACACCTACTTCTACCTCTTCTCTCCTCCCAAACAAGCTCGCACCTGGAACCCTAGAGACACCAGTCTTGATCTTGAGTTATCTCAGTTGGTGCAAAACATGCTGTTTCATTGATTCCTCTCCTTCCACACCGTACTATCTGTCCTGTTGTCTTTCATCCAACATCCTGCTGCTGGACGAACCATTGACGGGACGCGACATTCTTTTTTGATTGCAGCCCGTCCAAGAATTTGGTAGCTAGCCATATGCGAACAGGTTCGGCATACCTGCAGACAGGACGAACGAAACGTTTGAGTTCATCGCTAACACTGGGGCCTCGCCTCCCGACAAGCCCAGTCCTTCCTTTATTATTTTTCTCAGAGCAAAGGCTCTCTTAGTGGGTGTTGCCCATAGTCGTTCATGTAAGTGGCGGCCGCCAGGCATCAAAGTAGGGAGAGGGTATCAATAGAGGATCATCTCCTCTCTTCACATCACGTTTTCCTCCGGAAACTCTCGGACTTGCAAAATCTCGTATTATGACATTTCTTGGGGACCGGTACTAAATGTTTTTTGAAAAGCAAATCAACCTTGAACTTTCATTCCTTTCCGCTACGAGCGCCGGTCCCAGGATCTTGTCAACTTCCCAGGATCTCATCCGTCAACGACTTGAGCAGATATCTTTTCAACCTGATATAACGAAAGCTAAGAATCAACGTTAATCCTACCTTGGGCGAAACATCGAGCCTCTTGTCAATCTCATCGGCTGTCCTGGACGTTCGTACACACCATTTTGCACCCACGACATCCGCTCTTCCCCCACGGACCTTGCCAATTCAAGCAACGCAATCATCTCACCCTTCCTTGCGTAGGATCGGCTAGGCTAACACGCATCACTTCGTAAGTGAGTCCATTGAGTTCACTGAGTCCGCTTGTCTCAGCTCCATGTGAAGAAAGGGGGGGCGTTCCAATGGAATTGATATTCCTGACTTGCCGTATAGGGAACGAAGTTTAATAACCTCCATCGCCTGTTCCATATTATCTCTCACGCCTCTCTAGACTATCACGCTTAATGTCATTTGCCTCAGACATAGGAACAGAGACAACAAAAACACCAAGAGCAGCAAGTCCAATAACAACAAAACAACAACAACAACAACAACAAAGGCAATCTTCATAAGACCGAGTTATCTCTGAACAATAAGACCCCGTCAAGACCTCGTTAACACAAGTTTGGCAACGCGTTTTCACAACATCCAAACTAGAGCACCGAAACAGTGGCCATCACCTCATATCATTTCACATTTAACCCTTCTAGAGACTGTTCCAAAATCCATCAGCTCGAATGTCTTCCGTAAAGTTCGGGGGCTCGTACAAGTTGTTCGAGGTTAGTATGAACCGAACCCTATGTCAATGGGAATCAACTTGACCATCATCTTTCTCTAGTGTCAACTCAGATTTTGAGATATTCTGATGACACACACTGACAACACCCTTCTAATTCGAGGTTGCTGACTTCAAATGCTATAGCCGGAAGTGCACGCTGAGAGGCCATTCATCGTTGGAGTAGACGAGAGACTGGACTCCCCAGAGACTGCCGCCCTCAAGTACGAAGAAGCAGTTGCGAGAGCAAACGGTGGTGACATTCGTGGAGTGACTCCTCCTAGCCTTCTCTCAATGGCGACATACGCAAAGGCTCCCGCAGCTGTCCATGGTATGTTGGGTGCAGGTGTGCTACTTCTATTCAAGACCCCCGTGGTAGCAGGTGGGAAAAGGGGGAAGGAAAAAGGAAAGGACAGGACGTGGTAGAAAAAAGACTAACATGAACGTGCTTCCCAGGCTTCGACCCGACGAGGAGCTTCCAGGACTCCCCTTACACCCATCAATACTCTACACAAGCATACCCAACTCAGGCGTCGCAAACAACAAGCCAACTTAGCCAGGACTCTTTCGACTCAACAGCCACGGTAGGGAGCGTGGCCTCATATGTGTCTGTTGGCCCTACGGTCCTGTCATACCGACCCACGACAGGGTCATTCGGCACCAAGGTCCAGCTTCGGGTGTCGCTGAATGCGACGGGTTCTTACTTCTTCATTGCCTTTGGTTCCCAGAAGTGTGAGGCTCAGATAGAGAGCAGCTCACAAGAGGGTAGCGAGCTGGTTTACACGCTGAGCTGCCTTGCGCCTCAGCACATGGCCACTGGATGTCATACAGCCAACGTTCCGGTATCACTAGTGATTGAAGGGCCTGGTGGTGAGGAGATCTCGAGGACGGAGCTGGGTCAGTTTCTATACTGCGACGCTCAGCCTGGTGGTGCAGGTGGCAGGCAGGACGATATCACGAGGAAGGTATCCAAGTCACCTGGCCAAGGCCAGACTGAGAGCCCGCCCAAATCCCCCATCCAGCTACGGTCCGATTCGACGGCGACTACAAATACTTACGACTACCCCGTGGCTTCGCAACAGCCGGCCCAATCGCCGTATGCCACGGCATTCCCCCAAGGTGGTAACAACACCATGATCAGCACCTACAGAGCTAGTACTACGTTTACCGACCAATATTCGAGAGTGGCGCCTCCCGCCCTACGGACACCCGCCGGAGGGTGGCCTTCGTACAGCGCGCATCTAGATGCCAACCGCAGTCCCGCCGCCATTCACCACCACACTGCGATGACGAGGCCAAGCCTTACACCTATGCCCCTGTCCGCGGGGGGGTCCATGCCGCAGCTCATCCGAACGAGCACTCTCCAAGCCGGCGCGCACGGAAGCGGACAAGGTTACAACCCTTACGCCTTGTACCCCAACAAGGCCGTTTTGGAGATTGTTGGAAAGCTAGATACCATGGCGGAGAACTGGACGCCCGAGGAGTGGGCCAACAGGAGACGCATCGTGCGCTTCACCAAGACGCAGCACGGATCGACACTAACGACGAAGTTCCGACCGGTCGGCCCCAACGAGAAGCCGGCGAACACCACCTGCATCAGCTGCATCTGGTGGGAGGAGAAGGGAGAACACTTTGTCACCTCGGTCGACACGATATACCTCCTCGAGCAGCTCGTCGCGGCGCCGTCGCGTTTCACTGTGGAGGAGAAGAACAGGATCCGCAGGAACCTCGAGGGATTCCGGCCCCTGACAGTCAGCAAGACGAAGGCGGATTCCGAGGAGTTTTTCAAGGTCATCATGGGATTCCCGCACCCTAAGCCCAGGAACATCGAGAAGGACGTCAAGGTCTTCCGCTGGAAGCTGCTGGAGCCGGCGCTGAAGAAGATTATCAGCAAGTACAGCGCGAGCCCCGCGACCATGGTTCCGTCATCCCACATGCTCGCTCCTACGCCTTATCATGCTCTTCCCACTCCCCCGCTCACCGCCAGCGCTGTCGCGCCGGAAGCACCGGGAGCCTACGCGGTGCAGGCGCCTTCGCATCACGACAGCCTCGCCTCGCCTCGGTCTTTATCTGGTAGTTCGAGTACCTGGGGCCAATACGCGCCGACTCACGGCCCGCTCCAGACAATTCCCGGCGCTAGGACGACGATGTCTCCCAATGTGCGAACCACTTCGCCACAATCATCCCTTCGCCTCTCTTCCCTTCCTTCAGTCAGTTCCTACGACAGCCGAACTATGACGTCGGGACCGTACACCACCGCGGGGCTGCACTCTTCTGTCGGGCACGCTGCCCAGGCAGCAGCAGTGGCAGCGACGGCGGCATCGAGGTGGGACGCGACGCCATCTACATACGCCGAGAGTTATCCCAGTCTGAGCACGCAACACAGCCAAGCGCACCACCAGATCTACAGCAACGGCCACTACGATGGTACGCATAGGTCGTAATATCTCGGTGCTTGGCGATTGCAAGAGGGCCTCCACTCCCCTCCCCATTACATTACATGGGAGGGAGGAGGATGCGGGTGCGCCCCGTTTCTATGATAGCGTCATATGCCGCGTGGGCGGGCGGGAAAGCGGGTCATGTCGCCACGACACGAAGGCATCGCCAGAATGCCCAGTGGGTTGGGCGCGTGGACTAGACTGAGGAGTGGTGCATTCGGAGAGATTTGGGGGGGCAGTTCGTTTTCTTTCTTGCTCATCTTCGCCTTATCGAGTGTGTAAGAGAATCAATCAGGGGTGGACTCGAAGTGGGTGTGAGGGTCAGCTGAAGTGGTTGTGCAACCAATCAAGACGGAGGCCAACACACCTTTTTTCTCTGGCATGCTGCATTCCTTTCACACATTGTCCCCTGTCACGATGTTAGTCTGCGGGACCGGTCACACCTTCTTTACTCTGGGACGCCTCTCTTATGATACCATCCGACGGCATTTGCTTCATTGCTTCATGGTTCTTTTTTTCTTCATCTTTGCATTTGATTTCTTCACACCACACCCTTTTCTTCCCTCTCACGGCGCCGCGCGGGATATTATGCATGCGCGCATACTCCCGTGCCTACCGACTGTCTTGGATTCTGTTCTCGGTGTTTATCTTTTTTTCTGCTGTTGCGGTGTTCCTGGACTGTCGTTCATGACGAGGCCTAATTTTTAATTCTACTCGCTCACACTGGCTTGTTGATGGACGGGGCGGTCATCCCAGGACAGTTCCTGGGGCTCCCTCCGTTCGTCTCGGCCAATATCACGATCCATCTTGGAAGTCTCTTTTGTTTTCTGTTTTTGACTTCCAGTTTTTGCTCTCTTGTCGTCGCTCGTTTAATTCATTGCTTTTCTTCGTTTCTCTTGGTTTTGCTTCCTGTAACTTATCCGTCCTCTTCTATTTGCGTCTCTCCATTTACATTTCTCTTCTTGTATTAAGAACTACATACGTCGGAATAGACTGGTACGGTGGTGACACAGGAGGTAGATTGGGGTTCTCGTACAGTTCGGTGAGGTTGACTTCTAGTTTCTTGTCTCTTTTCTCCCTCTTTTCTCTCCCTTTTATTTTTTATCTCCTCTTTTTTTTTTTGCTTGGATGTTTGAATATTCGGGTCTAGCAGGTTATGATCGCTTCGGGTCATTGGATCTCGTGGGTATGTTTGTTTGACTTATTCGTCTTGGGCATGCATGTTTTCTGGTCTGTTGGTCTTGTTTTGATTACCTTTTTTCTTTTCATGTTCCCTTTGCTTCAGTGGGTCTTCTTGTATTGTCTGGAATTATCTTGAATAGACGGACCAAGAGCGTAGAATCGGGGGAGTGTTTATTCTCTTCCCCTTTCTATCCCCTCTGTCCACTCCCTTATCGATTCTTGAAACTTTCCAACGTTGGGTATTTTGATTTCTCGTTTTAAAAAAAATCCGGAAACATGTACTGCCCGAAGGAAAAAGAAATGCGAGCTCGTGTGTTTGTTTGCAACCGGAGTTTAATACTTACGCTTCGGAAGGGTTGTTTGGTTCATTCAAAAAGGTGGTGGGCGACGGGTTATTGCTCCTTGTCGAAACCTACGATACGCTTAATATTTGAATAAGTTTGCTTTGCTTGAAGATAAAAGCTCTGGTTTGTGAAGTCTGAATGTTTAAGTCTCCTCCTACATGGACCCCGAGTTCGCCTTCTCTCGCTCTCTCGAAAGGTATGTACTAAGAGACAAGCACCATGGGGATTTCAACAAGGCAAAGCTGACGAGAAGAGGAATAGGCAGGCGGAAATATTAGAGATACGGCTTTTTCGGTGTGTAGAGCACGGGGTTGGCCGATATGCTGTGCGCCGAAAACACCAAATGATGCCGCGGTCCGAGACGAACCTTTCGCAGTTTGACGAAACGCCAGAGAAAGCTCGTTCGCGCAAGGCACCAGCAAAACTCTATACCTGCGATCCCGTGAGTATGTTCAGTTCATGCGCTTATTTGGAGAGCCATGGGCTAGGAGTCGCCCTGTTACCATGACCTCATGCTCGGGATCCCGCATTGGGGGGGGGGGGGGGGGGGGGGGAAGAGCTCTAGGAATGTGGAACAATATTACATGGGGAATATAGGCGGCACTCTCAGTCCGCGTGTGGGTTATGCCCCGTGCAAGGAGAGATGGAGAGCACGAGGTTTTTTTTCTTGGAAGATCTACTTTGTCCCGACATGCGTCATGCGTCATTTGGGGGAGAGAGTTCTTGGTGTCTGGGCGCTGGACTGCTGGCTCCGCGGCTGAATTGGGACAGATTAGAGGCAGAAGACAAAATGGCGGATTTTGTGCTTGGCTTTATTGGAGAAGGTAGAAGGGAGAAGGGGACACTGCTCACCATTTCCTGCTGGGAATTTTTGAACTCTTTCTCTTGTCTGCGTTTTTGGTCAATTTGTGGATCGTGTTTCCGGGGGTTGAAGATTCTTGGGGTTGGGCCGCCATCTATCTCAATGCAGCAGACGAGGGACAGGGACATCTCGCTCTTCCCTCGTCCATCCGCATCATGGGCTTCGAACTACGTCTCTTTCCCCTCCGTCCTCTTCATGGATTCCCATTGCGAAGCTAATGGACCCAAGAGCTGGCCAAGATCCGGGAATTTCTTAGGCACTCTATTTGGAGAAAGTGGTCCACCCTCCATCCTCCTATCCCCGATTTCCTTTGGCGCTCTTTCTTTGCCCGTTCCGGCTCGGTCGGTTTATTCGCTGAGTTTAATTTATATGCCCCCCGTTCAATTAGAGGAGATTTCTGGATGAGAAATACCTGCGGCGATCTCCCCGGTAGAAGGTGTCCCAAGGAAAATGAAGTTCCCCAATATGCGGCTGCCGGCGCGGACATTGAATCTCTTAGCTCAGAGTCGTGATGGTGAGAGCTTTGGTTATATAGTGGTAGTGTCGGCATCCCCAACCGAGGATTGATTTGTTTTCCCCCCTCTCTCTTTTTGTCCCCTTCTTTCATTTGGAGATTGAGTTTGGAAGTGTTTACTTCTCCTTTCATCTCTCCCTTTCGGACCTGCGGACGATTTGCCCACGTTTCTTGGGTCGAGCAGGCGGTGATCTACGGTTTACTCGCCACGGTGGTTTCGTCTCGCCCAACTCCGCCCCTACTTTGTGATGACAACCGTACCACAAGACCACAAGAAGCTGGAGCAAAGAACAAACTAAGCCTTGGCGGTGGTGGAGGAAAGATAAATCTGGGCCTTCTGGTGGCACCTTCTTGGGGAGGCCAAAGTGAGGCAAGGGATCAAGGAAATAGGAAGGAACAAGGCGTATTGGGGTTCACAGTTCACCTTCCTCCAGTTTCACAGCTTTGAACCTTCCCTAGCTCTTTCCTTCTATTCTTGATGCTGCAAGAGACACGAGGGGGGGAAAAAAACCTGTGCGACTGCTGCCCCAGAGTTCTTGTTTTCTCTTTTTCCATCCCTCAATTGGAACGTTGTGCTGTGATCAACCTTCTCACAATCGTTATTTTCAAGAAGATGAAGGCGACTATCTTCACCGTGGCCCTTGCCGGCGCTGGTTTTTCTTTCGCATCACTCCTCACAGACCTCTTTACGGTAGAAAACGTCTCTGAGCTACCAGCCGGATGGACACTCCTGGCCGACCAACAACCCTTACCGACAGAGCCCCTCCCACTTTCGATATCGGTACGAAATGACGACGGGACGACGCGACTGAAGCAGCGCCTCGCAGAGATATCTGATCCCCGGAACAGAGACTACGGAAAACACCTCTCTCGCGACGAAGTGCGCGCTTTCAGACAGCCTCCTAAGGAGAGGACGGACGCGGTGCTCGCGTGGCTAGAAGAGAACGGCATCGTAGACGCCGAGGTGCATGATGATTGGATCAAGGTGAATTCTACGGTGCAGGGGGCTAAGGATCTCCTGGGCGCTGAAATTGCCTATTACACCTTTCCCGGGAGGATGCCCGTGCTGAGGGCGAGGAGGTACGGAGTTCCTGGGGGAAAAGTGGCCGATGCGGTGTCTTTCATTCACCCCGTGAGTAACTTTTTCGTCGCGACACCCGAGGAGAGCGATGAGGAGTTTATCGCGAGAAGACGAAGGGAGGCAGAAGATGCGAGACGCGAGGCGGAGGGGGCCATGGTTCGAGAGAAGAGGCAAGTTCCCGACGAGCCTATTTATCCTCCCGAGGGATCGACGCCCATCACGAAGCCGCCGTGCTGGAATGGGACGACGCCCGAGTGTCTGAGGGAGCTGTACAATATCAACTATAAACTTGCCGAAGACGAGGACGAGGAGGGCGGAGAATACGGTTCCTCGCCCGAGGTCCTTTATCTCGTGGCGGGATTCTTGGACCAGCACCTGTACCATCCAGACACGCACACTTTCATGGACACATTCGCTCCATACATTCCCGATTCCGTCCGCAACGTCACCGTCGAACTGATCAACGGCGGAGAGGACCCTCAAATCATGTCCAAGGCTGGCATGGAAGCCTCGCTGGACGTGCAATACGCCCTCTCCCTCTCCCATCCCGTCTCGGTAATCTACTCCTCCACGGGAGGCAGAGGGATCAAGCTCGATGGCAACGGTGACCCGATGCCCGAATCCCGCGCCGACAACGAACCCTACCTCGAATTCCTGGAATACCTCCTTGACAAGGAAGACTCCGAACTACCCCACATCATCTCGATATCCTACGCCGACGACGAACAAGGCGTGCCGCACCCTTACGCCCTCAAAGTATGCGACCTCTTCGCAGCGCTGACGAGCCGAGGCGTCTCTGTCATCGCGGCCACGGGCGATGGCGGCTCCCGCGGCGTACGCTACGGCGAGTGTCGAAGCAACGATGGGCTCAAGCGCCCTATCACGATGGCTTCCTTCCCGGCCACGTGTCCGTACGTGACAGCCATCGGGGCAGTCAACCAAGTCTCCCCTCCGCAAGTAGCGAGTTTCTCCACGGGCGGGTTCAGCATGTACTTCGATAGACCCGCCTGGCAGGCGGCGGACGTCGAAGACTACATCGTGACGCTCAACGGAAAGCTAGCAGGCCACTATAACGACACGGGACGGGCGATTCCGGACATTTCGGCCATAGGGGTCGGATATCAGCTCTTCTACGGGGGAGGCCCTGGTACGGCAATGGGGACGAGTGCCAGCGCGCCTGTCATTGCGAGCATGTTTGCTCTGATTAATGATGCGAGGATGAGAAAGGGTTTGGGGAAGACGGGATGGTTGAACCCGAGGTTGTATTCGAGGGAGGTGAGGGCGGTGGTGGATGATGTCGTGGGAGGTGTGAGTGCTGGTTGTATTTGGGATGGGGAGGCGCCGGGAGGTTGGCCTGCTACGGCGGGGTGGGATTGTGGAACGGGCATTGGGGTGCCGAGGGATTTTGAGATGTTGTTGGATGTGTTTTTGAGAGATCCGAAGGTTGGAGGGGAGGACGATGAAGATGAAGATGAGGAAGATTTGAGCGAGGGAACAGAAGAGTCTCCATAGACGAAATTCGCCGAGTTTAAGAGGCGCGATTGTACATACAGACGGAAAAACTATACTGTTTCTTCTGTATATTCATAAAAGAGATACGATTTTCATCAAGTCCCCCCATGCAAACCACCTGCCAAATGCAAGAAATGAAGTAAATGAAAAACGGAGAAAACCTAAAACCACCATAACCCTCATTTTCATTTCGACATGCGCTCATTACAGAGACAAGCTGATGCAACCGTCCGACGAATCCTCCTGGAAGATGCCCGCGTAGATTAACCCCTCATCGATGCCCGCCTCCTGGAAGCCGTCCTTGGTGATGTCGCCGGCGGAGTCGGTGGGTTTCTTGAGGACGCCGAAGTGGAATTGGCCCTCGCCGCTGACGTCGTTGTCGATGGCGTCGGTCTGGGCCTCGAGCGGGTCGTCGCCGGTCGAGTACAAGACTTGAGTCGTACTAACAGACGGTGTGTCAGTGGCATATCCGAAACTGCAACACACATACACACACAAGGGACCTACAGAGCATCAAAGTCGAGCACGACACCAAAGTTATGAAACACCCCCGCCGTAAAAGGTGTACTAAACAACAACTGGCCCTGATTCACATTCCCAAAAAGCTGCAGGGTATCCGGATCAGCCGTATTCCCGCCCAGAATCGTGCCCGTCTTCAGCACGAACTGGTTCGTGGAGAAGTCGGCGCTCTCGAGGAAGACGAGCTGGTACTCGTGGGACAGGTTGAAGGCGCGCGCGTTGTCCTTCATGAGGCTGAAATGCAGGGTCTTGACGCCCGTGGTGGAAGGGTCGGTGCCGTCGTTGGAGGCGGGGAGGAGCTCGGCGCGGCGGAAGCCGGTTTGGATGTTGTCGGCGGAGGGGGCGAAGATGGAGTCGTCGGAGATTGTGACTTCGAAGGGGACTGTGGCGTCGTCGAACTGGGAGAGGGGGGAGAGGGGGGAGAGGGTTAGGATGGGATTTTGAGAGAGAAGGGGAGGAGATCATTGTGGGTAGCCTTACGAGGGAGGCGCCTATCGCGGGGAGCTGGATGAGCTGGCTGAAAGCGAGGCCTGCAAGAAGTGTTAGCCGTAGAAACTTCGTGCTGCCATTCTCATCACATCGCGGAGGTGGGATTACCTTGGCCGAAGACATTGTCGGGGCTGAAGATGTTATTCGCCTGGTCAAAGTCGGCGGCTGCGAAGCCATCGGGTATCCTGCCGTCGAACTGAAGAGTGCATTCCTGGGCTGACACCAGCGGCAGAGCAGAGAGAAGAAGAGACAGAAGCGCTGATCGAGGTGACATTGCCGATGCGTTTGAAAATTAATCCTATCCTGAGGATGAAGAAATATAAAAAATGTATATATATCAAAGAGGAAGAAAAAGAAGTCTAGAAGCAACTAGATAGAATACAAGTGAAGTTGAACACCGCCGAGAAAACCTTCCAAGAGAAAAAAAGAGGAACATCCCAAGATGATGGCGACGATCGTCCCGTTAGATCTTATACAATATTAAGCTGGGGTTTCCTGCGGGCCCGAGCCACTTGGCGCCTGCCATCGTGAACTTCACAGTCGGGAAAGACGGCAGGGAATGTCACGTTTACTCTGATCTCTTGACTTCCGAGCCCTCATCTGCAAAAAGGAGCGCTGGGAGGTGAGTTGAGAAAGGCATTGGTGGAGAGGAGAGGCTAATAATATGGTATGCGACGGCGTGCCGAGCAGATCAAACGGAGTCGTCTCAAGGAGTTGCAGCTGGAGGCTTTAGCAAAGAGGGTTTCACGGGACCGAGGACGAGACGAGTTATTGGATGTAATTTGGGTTCGCCCGACGTAGGGTTTAGGCGCGAAAAATGAAGAGTATGCAGGAACAGATCTGTATCTTGAGATCTCGATCTCATCTTGACGTGGCTTGAGATGGCGAACAGGACGCAGGGGGAGATCGCGATGTGGGATGCGATGGTGGAGCTTAGATCAGAATCCTACGGCAGGTGACAACAACTGGTGGAGTCTGTCTGCATTTTGACCAAATCTCACACATTCGCTTTTGAAGTCATCTCGACTTGTAATAGAGGTGAACTAGGCGGAAGAGCGAGTCCAAATGTCCAAATCGATACTGAAATGGCGTTCCGCATTCCGAGACATCGCTGCGATTGACAAGACTCCAGAGGTGAATCTCCTCTGATACGGCCCGGCGTTTTGACCATCGAACTTCGGAGGCCAAGTGGGCAAAAAAAGAAAATTTTGAGAGCTGCAAGGATCGAACTTGCGCGGACAATGTCCATTGCGGATTCGGTATCTAGGTTTAACCTAAACGCAACGCCTTAACCACTCGGCCAAACTCCCGATGATTTGTGCTGTCCGAGAGTGCCCACTCGCTCCTTCTTTTGCCCCTCCCCGCCCTCCTGCCGTGTTGGTGATCGCGAGGTGGGCCAATTTTTAGTCAGCGGCGCGTCTTCACTTCCTCAGTTGCAATATTGTGGGCCTCAGGCTAAAGTCGGTACGTACCTGGGATCCCCGCGTTCATGTTGGACAAGACAATAACACCGGAAATCGCAAACCGTCATTGATATTGATCTGATTGATTGAGAGCTCAGGGTATTTCGTTCCGAGCATCGAGCGGTCAAGGGGATAATTCAGGTCGATATCAACCGTGGCTTGGGCCATTTCTCTTGGAAACGACAAACAATTTGAAGTCGCCGTTCCCTTTTATAGCTCCACGCGGTTTCTAGCACCCAGCCTCCGCTACTTGCTACTGGCGATCTTCGATGGCTCCACAGCGAGCTCACGCCTCCAAGTCCCACGCTCCCGTCATCCCATTGTCACCGCAACGAAGGAACCTTAAAGCTTGATGAACACGGTCGGACCAATGCTGGAACTGGGACGGGAATTGGCACTGGAACTGGCACTTTGATCATTCGACTCTAGCCTTTCTATTCTGTACTGCCAAACAATTGCGCAGTCCCAATTTCACAACATCTGCCGTCAACCGGGAAAACAGCACCGTGCTCTCTCTCCTCGGCTTTTTTTGTTCCTCTGCTCAATCAGATAATCACGAGCAGGTGTTTTGCCATTTCCCTTTCTTTCCTTTCCTTTTTCTCTCCTCCTCTCAAGAACCCATTATTGTCGCGTACGCTCTTCTATTGCCCCGACCTCAACGTCAACGCCAACACCAACGCCAACGCCAACTCCCACTCAACTGCTTCAACCCAGACCCCGGCCATCCATTTTTATGTCGCGTCGAATCCACCGCCAGATGCAACTTCCTCAATTCCATGCTCACCAGCGCTCGAGACAATCCACGCTCGACGCGACATTCTCGCTTTGAACCTCTTAAACCTCCATCGCTTGGTTCCCCCATCTTTTCTCCATCTCGTCGCCAGCTGCCATGCCTACCGCCCATGTGCGACCCGGGGACGATGAAGCTCTTCAGATAATCGCAAACGCCCTCGTCAAGGCTCGGAAGGTGGTCGTCGTGACTGGTGCCGGTATCAGCACCAACTCGGGCATTCCGGTAAGGTTTTGCAATGCTCTCGCGTAGCTACGGGCCACTGGGAAGTGGGAATTGGTCTCACTGACTCTTCTGCAGGACTTCCGCTCCGAAAATGGTCTCTACCAGCTTATCCAGGCACAATACGAAGCCGCCGCGAGGCAGGCCACCCAATCTCAGCTCCCCGCCCCCGCGTTAAAGCCAGCGGACAGCAATTCTCGCGACGACGCGTCCAATGTTGACGAGTTTCCAAGCCATCGCCCTAGCAAACGCCGGAAGCTATCAACCGCGACGAAAGAGGAGATCGGCGCACCGGGCACGTCCGAAACTTCTGAGGCGAATTCGAGTGCAGAAAGTGGCGGCATCGGGCGGCATCGGGCGGATAGGAAGACCCGTTCTAGATTAGAGCTACCGAACGCGACAGATCGTGAGAAGCTAGGCTCGCTGCTCATAAAACAAGAACCATCTGAGCTCCCAAATACGTCGAGTACGGCGCCGGCGCCCACCTGCGACGACTCTTTCAACACCTCATCCCAGGACGATCAAAGGACGCGAGTGGACAATGATGACCAGGCTAGGCAGAATCCTGAGCTTCCACAGGACAATGGGTCTGCTCCTCATTCGCCTTCCCTGCAACTCTCACAAGAGGCCTCGGACCAATATCAAAGGAAGAGGGCGACCTCTTTACCTCCTGGCCTTTGCCAAGAATCTCCCTCACGTCTAAGAGCACAACCTAAATTACCCCAATCCTCACCTCCACGCCATTCTTCTCAAGATTTTCCCTTTGAAAGAACAACTCAGCCAAATTATCTAGATGCCAGGAAAGGACAATCTCATCCTAGTGATTTTCGAGCAAGATGGGTGAACTGGGCTGCTATCTCCGATCGAGACCCGCCATCCTCTCCACCTCTTCGAACAACTTCCCCTTTGCCATATCCAGCAGGTTCTACTGGCCTTGACAGGAGGCTCTCCGCGATTCAAACCCCGTTGAACGCCCGGCACATGAGGGTGCTGGCTTCTCTTCCTCCTGGCTCAACCAACCTCTCAGACCCCCCTCTCTTCTGCAGCTCTTCCCCCCTTTCTTCTCCACCACCTGTTCTCTTTGATCCTTGCGAAGGGTTGTCTGCGTCGTCCTCTCGAGATACCAGTTTCTCAAGTAGTACACCCCCCTCGGAGGTTGACGAAACACCTCCTTCCTCGAACTCGTTCACTCCTCCCCCTTCTCAATCATCCAACTCTTCTCAAAGCTCTACGGTATCCACTAAACTACCCATCCCCAATATCAAGGGACGCGACCTTTTCGACGCGTCCATCTGGTCCTGCCCCATCCGCACCTCTGTTTTCTACACCTTCGCGACCACGCTACGGCAAAAATCTCGTGATGTCTCCCCAACAACCTCCCACCTCTTCATCGGACATTTGCGAGACCGAGGCAAGCTCGTCCGATGCTACACCCAAAACATTGACCGAATCGAAGAAAAAGTCGGACTCTCCACGGCCCTCGAGCGCGGGCCGGGACAAAAGAGCCGCTTTTCAACACGTCGCCTACCCCTATCCAGAGCTAACTCTTCGGGAGCGGGCAAAATTGTTCCCGCGATCGCCCGGGATGGCCAATCTCCTCCAGGGCAAGAATCTGAGGGAAGTCAACGAAGAACGCGTGAGTACTTAGATCCTTTTTGAGTGCTTTTTTTCTGCATCGCCCTTGAATGTCGTGATTTTCGCCGCGTTGCCTTTTGAAACGCGGACTGTGGAATAATGCTGACTTTTTTTTTTTTAATTCACAGCCGAAGGTCAGCGAGGAGGAGATGGAGCTGGCTACCGAGACGATGGAAATGATCGGCAACATCAAGACTTGTCTGGTCAATCTACATCTTCATGCGCGGGAGATGAATTCGCCCTTCGCCCAGGAGGTTCTGAGGAGGCCCCGACTGAACTGGATGGCCGACGTGATTCAAGTCATGGAGGGGGACATCCAACAATATCTAGGCAACCAAGCGGAGACCACGAAGAATCAGCCGGAGACACCAGAGGCCAAGGACGACGAGACACTCGAGGAACCGAGCGAGAGGGCGACCTCCCCATCCCGAACGGAAATTCCGGTAATGGTTCCGTCGCCCTCAATGACGGAAATTCTCCTGGACGCGTTGGAACGTCAGAAGGACAAGAAGAGCCCGCTTCAGAAACCCATGAGGTGTGTCAAGAATCGCGCCAAAAAGCTGCTCTCCCAAATTTCCAAGCTAGCGAACAAACGGTGGGAGACGAAGCAGACGTCTCCACCACCCGCCCTCCCAAGCAACTTCGTCAATCTTCCCCTTCTAGCGGGGTTGAATGTGTCTTTCTCCATGGCTCTCTCGAGTCCTTGCGATGCTTCGTCTGCCGAAAACTCTGCGAATGGGAGGACGCCGACCGAGAGAACGAGACGCTCTCTGGACGGCAGCCTGAGTGTCCGCATTGCGCCGGCGCCACCGCAGCCCGGCAAGAGCGAGGAAAACGCGCCCTGGGCGTCGGAAAGCTCCGCCCCGACATCGTTCTGTACGGCGAGGAGCACCCCAACGCGCACCTAATCTCGCCCGTCGTGACGCACGACCTCGCCATCGGCCCGGACCTGCTCTTGATCCTGGGGACGTCGCTTAAAGTCCACGGGCTCAAGGTCATGGTGAGGCAGTTTGCGAAGGCCGTGCATACCAAGGGGGGCAAGGTGGTGTTTATCAATTTTACGAAGCCTCCGGAGAGCACATGGGGAGATGTGATTGATTACTGGGTGCAGTGGGACTGTGACGCGTGGGTGGACAATTTGAAGGAGAGAATCCCGATATTTTGGCTTCCTCCCGGTACAGTCCTGCCCGAGCCGCCGAAGAAGCGGAAGAGGGAGAGCGTTGGTGGCGAGACGAAGAAGAAAGCTGCGAAGGCGGCTTCTGAGAAGAAGTCGAAGAAGAAGAAGGAGAAGGAACAAAATGGTGATGAAGGAGCTTCTGAGAGCAAATCCTTGAAGGATGCCGTGAAGATTGGGGCATCCTTGGCCACCAATCCGACAGTTGTCGCAGAACAAGCGAACACATCCGCCGATATAAATACGACAGCGACAGGCAGTTTAAGCGATCTTGCAACTACTACTGCCGAAGAACAATCCAACGAGACTAAAGCTAAAGGGCCGACGACAGCGAAACCGCAAACCCCCCAAAAACCAAATGCCAATCGACCAAAGGGCATAAAGGAAGACAAAGCGAACGGTGCATATCTTAGCTGGAAGATCATGGACAGTCTGCGCTCCATATCTGGGCGTCCCGCACCGCCGCCAATGGAGCTCCCCTCCGTAGCGGCAACACGCGCTGCGGCAGCCGCCACAGCCAGGATTAAGCGAAACGAGGCAGCCAAAGCGAGGCGTCAGAGAAAATCAGCCCCGGCAGCTCTGACGCGACCGGCACCGTCCGATCTTGATCCTATCCCCGAAACCACTCCTGTGCAGTTTACGACGCCGCAGGGTGTGAACAGCATATCCCAATCATCTCCGCCTCCACCTGTGACCACTCCCCCAAGCATGTACGTCGCTCAACCACAGCCGCGACCACAACCAGATGCCGCGCGACTGCTGCTGGCAGGTACAATTTTGGAAGCCGTCAAGTCTAACCCCAGGAGGCGAAAGCGCAAAACAATCGATGGCGAGGAGGTCGTGCTGCCCTGCGTCAACAGCCGCGGTCCATCGAAACAGCGACCTGGCGCAAAAAACCCAAAGCCATACCAGCCCAGAGGAAAGGAAAACACCCGTGCTCGCATCTCCACCACCCCGGTTCCTATCCCCAACATCCCCCACGCCACTCATCCTCCAACAGCGACAAGACCTCCCAGGCTCGAGAACGGAGTCTGCCCTCCCGCTTCGCTGCCTCTGCTTAAACCCGCCCCGGTTACCGCCTACACGGAATCTCTCTCTCTACCGCCACTGCGACAACCCATCTCTCCGACGTCGTCCCGGTTCCCTAAGCCGGTGCCCATGGAACCGCTCTCGTCGCCGCGGGGCCCTCTGACGTCGATTTCAGCTAACCTCCGGTCACCGATGTCGGAGTTTAGGGCGGATCCGTTCTTTTTGGCGGATCCGTCTGTGCAGTGGGCGCGGACGTCTTGGGGACCGAGCGGTTGGGAAGGGGGTCATGCTGCGTGGGGCTGATGGGGAAGGGAAAGGAATATATTTATGAATTGGGGAGTTGAGGAGGGCGGTCGATTGTTTAACATGCTTATAATTGCAGTAGTGAAGAGCCGACGGCGAGGGAGTTGATGGTTTTGGTTCGTGAAGAATATATTTTATCATTCGCTTTGCTGTTCCTCCTTTTCTTTGGTGCGTAGGACATGTCACTGTAGAGATAACCATCGGCTGTATTTGTGTCACGAGGCTGTCACAGGCCTTGCATCCGTTGTGTAGAATGGCGCGGCTTACTGCCGAGTCTTGTGTTGATAAGGCCCCAACGACCTTGTTCGAATAAATATGGAAATGGCCATAGACATCCATGATGTGAAGAAGAACCCAACACCGGAGAAAGCCTCCGGAGAAGACAGGATCTTGTTGAATATTACACTTTCCAGCCCACACTCGTCGCATAACCGAAGTAAAATACCCAAGAACCCCCCAAAGCGCCTAAAAGAGAAGCTCAAAGAAACACCACGCCATCACTCCCTGGAGAAAAAACCCCACCAGATCAAATAAACCCTCCCATCACCACACAACGGCACAAGGAATTCAAGTAGCGCTACCCTCCCTCGTCGGCTTGATATACTCCGCAATCCTCCTTCCAACGCCTCTCTGCTGCTCCGCCCCCGTCCCCTTCCCCGCTCTCCTCTCCGGCTCAGCCGCCGAAGAAGACATGGACGCCAAGCTCGGCCTCTGCTTAACCGACGCAGAAGAGTACCCGCTCCCATCGGTCGAAGCTCCTCGCGCAGAGCCGGACTTTAGAAGACTCGCCGCGTCATCCGTGGACATCGGGCCCTGTGCGGGGGTTGAGCGCGCTTGTGGATTTGGTGTCGTTGTCCGGACAAAGTCTTTGGCGGCGTGGCGGGGGACGTAGGCTGCTTTTGGGGCGGATTCGGAGGGCGCAGGACATGGTGGAGGAGGGGATGGAGGGGAGAAGCGGTTGGCGGGGGAGAGGGACCAGAAGCGGTCTTTGAAGGATTTTTTGGGGCGGAGGGGTTGCGGAGGGGTGGGCATTTGGATGGTTTTCTGAGTTGGGAGTGTGGAGAGATGAGAGTTTGGAGATGGGAGGAGATGGCAGGGGTGTAAGAGAGGGGGATGAGGCTGAGATAATGACGGCAAAGAACCGTGGGACTGGGATGTTTATCAATCTCTATGCCGGGAAGCTGTCAGCTCAATCAAGATTAGATGCAAGGAACAAAGGCCCAAGGCAAAGAGCACATCCCACCCGCTATATCTATTCACCAAATCTCAATCGAACCATCTCATCTTCCTTCCCCCCCTGTCAAGGCATGACCAGGCGCTCAACGCCCCGTTTCCGACGCAGAAATCCGAGACCTCTACGCCCTCGCCACTCGGGATCGCCCGCTTTTATTCCCTTTATTTTTTCCCCCAATTTTTGCTTATTTTCTTCTAGACTTGGGAATTTGTCTCACTTTTTGCGCGGTCTTGGCTAGTGTCCTCTTCGTCCATCGCGGCTGACTGGGTGACATGCGGGCTGGATCTGAGTGGATCGGGGGCGAGGTTCCGGCGCGGGAGAGGATTTGGTCCAGCTGGTCGGGGAACCTATGAGGGGATGGAGATGGGAGATGTTGCTTCGATAGTTTTGGCTGGGCTGAGGATTGGTGAGAAAACCTTGCTGGTGAGAGATGTCTTTGCTTAGTTGTGGTGGGAAGGGAGTGTTTCTTAGTAACTTGAGAGAGAAATAATATTGCTTTATTCTTTTTTTCTCCCCTGCTAGGCAAATGGGGAATATTGAATGTGAAGGTGAACTATTGACTGGCCGGTGGAGTGCTGTATCAATAGACTACATCGAATGGGGAATAAGAATACGGTTGGGGGTTCCTTTCTAGATAAGGGTGCTCGGTAGCTGAAAGGAAAAGAAGGAAGAAAATACAGGGGAAGAAAAAAAAAATTGAATTCTCGTCTTCGGGGCGAGACGCAATCCACGGTGGTCTTCGTTCATATCTCACAATACCCTTGATGAAGACGCGTCTATCCGATTGGGATATGACGAAGCCGGCGACTGAAGGTCGTCACCGCTGCAGATCCCCCTCCGGCGGCTGACGGGAACGGGACTCTTCGCGCCTGGAGCTAAGGTGCCGTTGTCGAGTTCTGTCGTCGTGGAAGAGCAAAAGAGCCTCATTTCGATGGTCCGACATCCCAAAGTGACCAGACACGCCTCTATAAAATACATCTATTTTGCGTTTTTTTGACCAAGCCAACTACATAGAAAGGAGATCTAATAAAAAAGACCACTAATATACATACATACAACGTCCACGAAGATGGTGATACAGGCAGAGGGAGACGTCAATCCCTCCGCATGCACTCGTTACTCCTCCCAAATGCAACGAAGTTAAAATCGCTGGAAAAACCCGGCGCTTCCGTTTCTTATTTTCTTCCTCTCTTTCTTTTCTCTTTGTTTCTTCATTAGGTAGGATTCTCCAATCACTGGGGCGTTTCCTGTTCATTAAGCCGACACCTCCTGGGATTTCGTCTCTGCCTTCTCAGCCTTCACTGGAGCAGCTCCTGTCGTCTTGGTCTCGAGTTTGGCCTTCTTCTCCACGGGAGCAGGAGTAGCTGCCTCGAGTTCGGCGGGAGCGGCGGCAGACTTGGTATCGACGGCGGCCTCGGGAGTTACGTTTTCGGCCGCAGCGGGGGCGTCAGAAGTGGCGGGTCGCTCACCACCCTCGGCTTCCTCGTCGTCCATGAGCTCGGCGCCGTAGACCTCGGGGTGAAGCCTAAAGCAATCTTGCATGCCCCTGTCATCTCATCGTCAGCATCCATTTCCACAGTCACCTCGAAAAGTCCAGAAGGGAAAACGTACTGGAACTTGTCGATGCAGTCCATGCCCTTAGGCTCCTCCTTGGAGTACACGAAGCAGCTAAACGCTGCCTTGAACTCCTCCCCGCAAGGTCCATGCGCCATACCGCCCAAGCACGGGCAATCCCAGTTAATCTCGCCCGTCTCGGGGTCAAACGCACCCTGCTGGCCAGCCTCTTCCTCGAGAGCTTCTGGGGATCCCGGCGCAGCAGGAGCAGCACCAGCAGCGGAGCCCTCCTCGCCATCACTCGTCGGCACGGATTCGGCACCCTCTGTCGCTGCGGCTTGTTGCGTCGCCGCCTGTTGTGCCGCCTCCTTCTCGGCCTCGGCTTGCTTGGCGGCGGCTTCGCGGGCTTCTCGCTCCTTGGCGCGCGCTTCGATTTCTTTGCGCTTGCGGTCGATTACTTTGTCGACCGTTACTAGTTCTTCGTCGTTGAGGCCTTGGGGTGCGGGACTTGTTTGGGCTGTCGTGGTTGATGTGTTAGTAGATTGCTACGTCTTGCCCCGGAAGCCAATATCTTTTCTCCCTCTCATCGGGGGTTACGGATTTTGTAGAAAAGCAGAAACTCACGCGCAGGATCATCCGCAAAGAGTGGGCTCGTATTATACCAATACAGCGCTGCCGCCGCCGCACCCCATCTCGCCGCAGACCCCTTCCACGTTGCCTTCTTGGGCGAAGAATTCGTCGAAACTGCCCTGCGAGGCAATGCCACCGTCCTCCTAGTCGCGGCGTTTATCGTTACCGGCCGTAACCGGCGTAGCGGAGCGCGAAACATTGTGTGTAGAGTTTTTGGCTCGTCGGGAAAAGGGGGAGCGAATGCACCGCTGGGGGTTCGAATGTCTCGTTGTGTCCGAAAATGGCCCTGTATCGAATAGGAAACGGCAGACGGCGGAATGAGGGCGAATTGGCCTGTTTAAAGGAGGGTACGGGTCGGTTGGTCGCATATGTCGCGAGGTCGTTGGGGAAGATTTCGGAGCTTGTCGGTTTGGAGATTTTTCTCTCTTCCCATTGCCGCTTAGAAATCAGTGATGCAGTAATCATGGTGATGCAGTTACCGGGGTTCGTACGAAATTATCACGTGATCCAACTGAACCCGTCCGGTCTGACCCGCCTTGGAAACACCCTTCGGTCAAGGACTCAGCGCTCAGCTTCACCGAGGAGACGAGATCATCTCGGACAACACTAATCCTAGTCCCCCCATCGGGAATTTTCAAAATATTAGTTTTATGGTTTCGCTTTTCCGATGATTGGGCGTCCCCAAGATGCCTCGAAGTTGCCTAACATGAGTCGCGAGGCGGTGCGTGGGCTGAGACCTCAAGCCGAAGGTCGATTGCCCAATGAAAGATGGCCGCACATCAAATATGTTGGTTGCCCAGCCTGGTCTGGTCATCCACGCCGCCAATTCCTAGCCGAGAGTTGTAAATGAGTTGACCGACAGGGCAATGCTCATGTCTTCTGATAACCCTTTCGCGACTCTTCAAGACAAATGCAAAGGGTTCGTTCAACCCCCTCACATCACTCTACTCTCCCTGTAGGAAAGCGGCAACACGACCTTGGGATTTACCCCGCCTGAGGAACGGCCTCTTGAAATGGAGCCAGTTTCCGCAGTTGGACTGGCGTCATCCATTATCACCTTCGTCGAGTTCGCCTTCAAATTAGTCACGGGAGCCCTCGAAGTATACCGGTCCGTGGATGGTACGCTCGAGGAGAATGCCCGTCTCGAACGGGTCATCGGCGATCTCAACTCCATCGTTGACGATCTTGGAAAGAAAGGGGGAGGCGGATGCCGCTCAGAAAGAGCCATCAGAGACCTCGCCGTCGAGTGTCAAGCCGACGCCGAGCTCCTTGTTGACATCCTAAAGTCGTTGAAGGTACCTGGCAGGCGAACGCTGTGGAAGAGTGTTACCGCCCAATGGAAAGCTCTTCTTAGAAAGGATGAGATCACGGGTCTCAAGGAAAGGCTTCAGGAATACCGGAGTGAGATTATGCTCAATCTCATGCTTCTGCTTCGGTGAGATGCTCTCCCTGCCACTGACCACTAATCTTTGCCAACTAATAGATCTGTGATCTAGCGAGGACTGGTCAAACGCAAGTCATATTGCCGACCGGATTGGAGACGACTTCGGTAATCTCAGAAACGAGCTCGAGCGAGTCAAGGAAGACGTGGTGAAGGAAATCCTGGCATACTCAACCCCACCAGCCCCGGCGAATAAAGACGAAGAGTCTCTAGAAAACATAAGCAAAATGCTAAGGGAACTGCACGTATCGGCTCGCGCGATTCCAGTGAAGCAGCGAATTCTTAGGCAACTTGTTTTTAACGAAATGCGTTGGCGTCGGGAGCAGATATACGTTGCAGACGACACAACCTGTGGATGGGTTTTCAAGGACTACGATGCATCCAGGAACGACGAGGGAAACGATGGTCCTGCGGATTCAAGAACTGGAAGCAAGGGTCGATCAGGGAAAGGACCGGAAAGCCGCCACGAAGAAGCAAGCATGAAAATTCGCAGTTGGCTTCGCCATGACCATCATATTCTACACCTTTCAGGGAAAGCTGGATCCGGGAAGTCGACTCTTATGAGATATATAGCGCGGCACAAGGCCACCCAGGAAGATTTGAAGCAGTGGGCCGGGCAGAAGACACTGGTCACGGCAGACTTTTATTTTTGGAATTCAGGATCGGATCTCCAACGCTCGCTCCAGGGTCTGTACCGGTCGCTTCTCTTCGAGGTTCTGTATGCAGCGCCGGAGCTGATCGCGGAAGTGTTCCCGAGGCAGTGGAATCGCTTTCAGGCCGAAGTGGGCGACCGCCGAGTCGAAAGCGTGGACTTTGGTGAGGAGCAGATCCGAGATGCCTTCGAAATCCTCATGAACAGAACAGGAGAGGCCTCTGGATGCAGGTTCTGCTTTTTCATTGATGGGCTCGATGAGTACCATGGAGACATGATGGCACATGAGGAGCTGGCGTTGAAGTTAAGGCAGTGGACCAAAGGACGCGGCGTCAAGATTCTTACCAGTGCACGACCACAGCAGGAGTATTCCGGTATCCTGGAGTTTACGAGTAATACTATCCACCTACACACCATTAACCGGCCGGACATAAAAGCCTACTGCAAGTCCCGTTTTGCGAATGACCGAGTTGCCAGCAATACAGGAGACACGTACGAGGAGATAATATCCAAGATCTCCTCTTACGCGGAAGGCGTGTTCCTTTGGGCATGCCTAGTCGTTAACAAACTTCTCGAGGCTATTCGTCAAGGAGATCCCCACTGGGTCTTGCAAAAGAAACTAGACGAGACGCCGAGAGAACTAAACAAACTATACACAGACTTGCGAAACTCAATCGCGAGCCCGATTGACCGCGTTAGATGTGACCGGATGCTTCTCCTGGCAGCCAAGAACCCAACATCGGAGGAGTTAAGCGCATTGTCATTCTCCTGGCTTGATGAGGGGGAGCTTCAGAACCCGGACTTTCTTTCAGACATGCTCCGCGAGCCGTACAGCCCAAGAGAGATGTACCAGAGAGTTTCTCGAGTAAACAAGCTGATTGGTAGCCTCACGAAAGGGCTTCTAGAGTATTCGCCGAAAACTTTCCTCACCATTGCGGAGCAAAAACAGTACGAGGTACTCCAGACACACAACGTCGCTTTCTTCCACCGCACGGTGAAGGAGTACCTCCTGGAAAGTGAGGACAGGATGCGAGAGCTAGAGGCTTCCTATCCCGAATTCCGGAAAGCTGCTGTCTACGGAATCATTTTTCTTGCGGATTACGTCTTTGACCCTGAGCGGCGTTCTGACGCGCGTGGCCACCATTCATCGCTCTCCCGCGTCATCAGTCGCCTAAACCGACTGGGAACAGACGCTTTCCCGTTTCTCGAAAAATTACGAGCCATGTTGGACACGGCTCCTACCAATAAGAGGCAGAACAACCACGCCTTGCAGGGCTGCCGGGGTCCGTTGGAAGGAGCGCTAAGGGGTTTGTTGGCGTTCGGGGAACTTGGGATAGAGTCCGAAGAAACCCGACTATATTTATTCCTCTTTGCGGCCCGTAGAACACCTCGACTCAGGCACGAGCTGCCCCTGGCAATGTACTATCCGCTTCATGGAATCGTCGGTTGTGTCGGGATGTTCGCCTGGCCCCCAGCATCGTTTATACATCGTGTGGCTCACGAAGAAAACCATACATACGCTCTAGAAAAGTGCAGGGCCGATGGGCAGCTGGACCAAGTAGCCAATGACGACCTCAGCCTCCTAATCTCAACATTATCTCAGACAAACGGCGCCTGGGACGAGGATATGCTCAATACTACTACGTGGCTCCATGAGGACAACTTGAATAAGCCATTTCTAGTCTATTGGATCCTTTCGGACGATGAGGATACGATACGAGAAGGGTTTCGCATACCGGTGTTCCTCGTAGCCATGATGTTTATACTCGTGTACCATTCTAACTGGTACGAATGGGTGGAGGTACCGGGGCCGAACAAACCACTCTTCAAGGAGACTAAGATTCTCTCTTTGTTCAACCGGCTCCGTGAACATGCGCGGAAGACTGGCCAATCCGCTCTGTCGTCCTTGAGAAAGAGCGACAAGGTCGTCGCGGATATGCTCGGGCACTACGAGCATCGGGTAGGCCTTTGCAGCCTTGATGCCCTTTTTGAGCCCCCCCTTTCCCCTGACGATGTCAGGCCTGGACTCTTTTCGGAGTCTGTTCCTTGGAAGGAAGGTTGCCAGCATTGCGTGAGTGGGCATGGGTGCGTCGGGATGTGGATTCGCTTGTTCTGAGGGCCGTTGAGGAGAACTGGTCCTTATACCCTCGCCTAAGAAGAACCGGAGGTCGTTGTGAGGTGAGGAATAACCAGGAATTGGAGCGATCGACACACGAAGCATGTATCAATATTGATGTAGATGCAGACGGCTTGGAAGCTTGGAGTGGGAAGCTCCTGCCATTCTGTCTCCGAGCTCCGGAGTTTAGCCTTGAACTCGTCGACTTAATTGATTAGATAGCGACTTTAGCGTCTGACGTAATTTGGCATTTTTAGTGGCCAAAGTTTGGAGATTCGATGACGATTGTGAATGCGAAATTGTGAATTAACTCTCGATCATCTGTGGCATCTCGGAAAACAAAACATACTTCGCCTAGATACGATACCAACACATACCTCCTCACTTCTCGTCATGGAACAATAACGCGGTCTCATTGAAATTTTCTTTTTTTTCTTTTTTGGATATAATACGCTCATAGAAATCCATACCTCAACACCTCCACCCCGCCAGCCTTCCTCCTCCTCTCGCTCACGATGACACGCACCTTTGAGTGGGAACTGGCATCCCTGCTCAAACCAAAGGACCCTACCAAGGCCGTGACGTTTGACCTCATCGTGCTGAACCAGCCGCTGAAGGATACGCCGACTCTCCGGGCGCTATGGGAGGGAGGTAAGCTACCCCGCAATGTCCACATTGCTCTGTAGATGAGAAACCTTCCTCAGCTTCGGTGTGCTAATGAAGGTCTATCTGCATAGCGAATGTACGCGTGGCGGCGGATGGAGGCGCAAATAGGGTGTATGAGCTTGGCAAAGAGGCTGAGAGAAAAGGGGAGGAGAACATATTTGTGAGGGTCTTCCCGGGGCGACCTCTGCGCCCACCTTCTTCTCTTTGTTCCTTTTATTCTGACCGGAAAGCGAAGCAGGACTCTCTCAGTGTAATAATAGGCGACCTAGACTCACTCAACGAAGACTCCCGGGCGCACTTCTCCCCAACCACACAAATCATCCACGACGAGGATCAAGAGTCCACGGATTTTGGAAAGGCAATTGCGTGGTGTCGTCGCGCAACAGCAGCAGCCCCGGCCGAGCAACCGGTAGACATACTCGCTCTCGGAGGGGTAGGAGGGCGCGTGGACCAGGGCTTAAGTCAGCTCCACCACCTTTTCCTGTTCCAGCCGGGATCTGGATACGACGAGGGCAGGATCTATCTCTTGTCGGAGGAGTGCGTGACGATTCTGCTCAAGCCGGGGAGGCACATTCTTCGTGTCCGAGAGAAAAGCGAGGGGGAAGGAGGAGGAGGAGGAGGAGGAGGGCAAGGAGAAGTGTTCGGCAAGCATGTCGGGATTCTGCCCATCAAGGAGCCGAGCGTCATCACTACCAGGGGACTTGAGTGGGATGTTGAGGATTGGCCGACGAGCTTTGGGGGCCGGGTGAGTACGAGTAATCATGTGCGGCCGGAGGTAGACACTGTCGAGGTCGAGACTTTGAAAGAAGTGCTCTTTACTATTGCTCTCAAGGACACACAGGCGTAGAGTAGAATCAGAGGATATGGCGTTAACAGAAGGGCACCAGGGCGCAGGAAGGTCGGGTTTGGGTTGGAACAACTCAGCGAAATGAGCGTTTCTGTTTGTTATTAATAGAAAGGGGCCGCAAAACTCCATGAACTCCGTTTTCCCACGATTTTGACTATCATTATCCATTAGGTTCCGCCCGATGTGTTACACGTACTTGGGATATGCTCGCAGGAGCCTCCGAAGAAAAGCCCCAGAGCCACAACCCCATCAATCACTCCTCCAAAACAGCAAAAAGAAAACCATCCACCCAGCGGTACACGAAGTTTACCGCAAGAAGTGAATGCAAAGCCAGCAGAACAGGAAGAATACAATCACACCCGCCACAAAAATCCACTTATCCTCCCTCGCGCGGCGCTCCACCATCTTGATAGTATCCCCCGAGACGCCGAGCGTATTCGCGACCGAATACAGCCTCTTCTGCGTATTCTTCATAATCTCCCTCTGCTGACCCAAATCCCCGAGCACAGCCTGACCCCTCGCGATATAATCATCCAGCGCATTATTCGTACTCGCAAAGAAATCCTGCTCCCTCAAGGCATGCGCCTCCCTCACCTCATCTCCACTCCCAAACGTCAACTGCCCACCACCTCCTCCTGCTCCGTATCTCCTCGCGCTCGGCCCATCCGAAGTAGTAGCAGTCGACGCGTTAGCGTACGGGTTTTCGGGCGTGGCGTTGACGAAACCCCGACGGCCCAGTAACTCGCTCCGGTTCGCCTGCTGCGTGACCTCCTCCCTCTCGCGACGAACAGCCTCGACGCGGGCGCGGAAGTCGGTCAGGTCTTCGCGGAAACGACGGACGCGCTCGAGGGCTTCTTCTTGCTTTTTGGGGACGAGCTCTTGCCGCGCTAGGGCTTGGTAGTCGTCGATGGATTTGGTGAAGGAGGCGAGGGAGGCGGAGACGTTGCCGATTGTGGAGGCGGTGATGAGGGCTGGTTGGGTGGAGTCGAGCTTGGAGAGGTCGTGCCGGAGGGCTTTGCTTTGGCGGAGGGTGGAGTTGTAGGCGACGTTCATCGTGGCGGTGGTGGGTTGTAGATAGGTTGCGGTTTGTTAGGTTTGGCTCCTTGTTCAGGGGAGGAGCTTGGGATGCTGGTTCTTGGTGAGGCGGGCGTTCTCTTCGTGCGCTTGGGTATGGACGTTCGAGATGGGTGATTCGAGATGGGCGTTAAATGGGAACTATACGTTCATCATGGACGGCATCGGATGTTGAGAGTTGAGAATGGAGAAGTGGTAGAAATGAGGAAGCCTGGAGCTAAAACGCTGGAGAGAACACGATATCCAATCGAGAATCATTGGGTGGTGTTGCAGCTACCCAAATTACCTGTTGTCCAGGATGCAGGTACTCAGATACATCGGGCGGTACGCAGGTACGGTACAGAGTACAAGATACAAGATACAAGGTCTTAAGGGCTGTACCTTCCACAAGATCGATCATACACTAGACCTGCCATCTGCCAGGTGGTGGCGGCTGCGTATGGGCGGCAGTTCCCGTCACCAAGATTTCTCCCAAGTCGCTCCCTTCTTGTCTCCATTCTCACTGGAGCCATAACAAAGCAGTGAATCTCAATGTCAAAAGTACGATATTGAAATGGAAAACTATTCTCCTATGCTCCATAATAATTCTTGAATGATTGAAAACAGGCTGTCGCTCTTCCATGTCTTTGCCAATGCCGACGTGCTTGCGGTGAACCAGCAGTTCGACGATTCCCTATTTCCACTGCATATCTTGCCCGGCAAGGGGTGAAAAACATCGTCGCCATCTCTAGGAACGGACATGACGATGCCTGGTCTCAAAAGACCGATTCACGAAAGCAACACCCTTGGCTGCACATCGATCCCATCCAGGGCGATATCGCTAAAATTCATGATTCCGCCCGGTCTTCGATACCGCCTCCAACCCCGTCGCCGATGCGATATGAGGAGCCGTGGTTCTCCGCGACCACATGTTCACCACAACGAACCCCTTCCCAAGAATTCCGCGAGCCTATCCTCCCGAAGGTGGCCGACACATGGAAGATCCGCCTCGTATCCCAGGAGCAGACCGTTAGACTTTTCCGCACTCCTACCCAGCATCGGTTGTCTCGTCGGCCAACTCGGTCATATCATCTGTGGCCATCTTCCGTGACGAGTCTAGTGCACGAGACGAGCAGATGCGGTCGACCGCGTCCCTCATCCGGAGCGTAGTAGACCGTGTGGTAACAAGGCCCCAACGTTGCGCTGCCCTCCCGGAATGGGATCGAGTCGTCCGGGGCTCAGACGATGTGCCAGCGATTTGGCACTCTGTTCGTAAAGCAGCGCCGCCTCGTCGGAGTATGGGGGGCCCCGTCGCCAAACTCGGACAGTTTCACCTACGTCCGATGCGGTGCGTAGCTGAGTTCAGTTGCATTTTATCGAGTTGTATTTTGTCTATCCTATCATACAATCACTTAGGAGGTGCTATAATTTATAACGGTAGAAGCCATGCCCACTTTTCACACCCAGGCGGCCACTCCGGAGCAAGCTTTGGAGATACTCTCTCGGCTCGCTAGGGATGTTCCCCCGCGCGTCGGCATAGTGCTGTTCAATATCCAGCACGACATCCAAGCCCACAACATCCATCAACTCGAACGGTCCTTTGGGCGTCTTCAGCACTCCCTTGAAGATGGCGTCAATCTCCTCGGGTGTCGCGACGCCTTCAGAGGCCGCGAGGAGGGCTTCTCTCTTGATCGCGGCCCAAATACTGAGAGCCGTTAGCCGTAGTTTTTGGAAGAAAAAGAAAAAAAGAAAAAAAAGAAAAAAGTGACACCGTGGGCAAGGTAAGGATAGTTGACAACCCACCGGTTGTAAAGGTAACCCATCGAGGGGGTCTTCACGTGGAAAGGCAAGAAGCCGTGGGCTTTGCTTCTATCCAGCACGAGGGTGATACATGATGGGTCTGTTGTCTCGTGGCCCATTACCTCGAGTTCTGGCTGGATTGTCAGCCTGGGAAGTTGCCGCATTATATCCAAACTTCTAATATATTTCCCTTACCTGGTGTTTCCGGGGGCCAGTCTAATCGGGTTTTGTCCTCTCCACTTAGCGACATGGCCCATATCCCACAGAGCTGTTTTGCTGTTGCGAGTACTTACATGAATGAGCACTGAGAAACCGCCGTTCATTCTTCAAGGTTAAGGTTTCCAAAATCTCCGAACAGGTGTAGCTGCTAGAATTCGAGGCAATGATGACTTCGTCGGCGGCAAGAGAATCGAGTTCCGTGATTACCTTTCTCTTCAGTTGAAGCTGTTCGGGTACGCACTACCACCGAAGTCAGTAATGGGATACTGGGCGTAATCCAACACGAAGAATTGTTTTCTCACCTCCACAACTAGCCATGCTGTTTGAAGAGCAGCGCTCAAGTCCTTAGGGAAATGGGTGATAACCTCGCCCCATCGGCGAGGTTTGCGAGAAGCAGCAGATCGGAATCCTTCTATGACTTTGTGGCTGCCTTCAAGTTGGCTGGCTTGAGCATCCACCAAATGAACGTCGTATCCCGTGCTAGACCACTGCGAGTAAGTGTATGAGAATCTAAATTGGGATTCACTGTCACAGCTTCCGATATTTCATACCATGTACGCCAGGCGGCAACCCTGTGTGCCGGCGCCGATGATGGCGACAGAGGTTCGGGAACCAGTTCCGAGCGCCATGTTGCCTGAGAATGAGAGAAGGGGGAAAGCAATGAAAGCCAGAATATCCTCGATGAATGTTGAGTAAGTAAATAACGAAATAACGATGAAAGAAGCTTAAGTACTATAACACAATAACACGATGCAAGAGGTTTGGGTGGACTTGTTACATCGACTGGTGTTTTCTTGGTCTTTATCGGATCCGACTTCTGTGGATCTTCCGCTGAACTGCGTCTCGTATTCCTTGGCAATTTCCCTCCCCACATTTAAAATTTGGGGAAAAACGTCCATCGGATCCGATCCCTCGGTAAACCCAAGACATTTCCAGCTTGATACGGGTAACACTATTAGCCCCAGGGCGTTGTTCCCATCAGCACGTCAGGAAACTTATTCCGCACTGCGGAAACCCGAAGCTGATATTTGATGGAATGTTACATACCCCGGAACGGCGTTCGAGCGGGGAGCCACGACTAGGATGTGTTATGCGTTGTAGTGCATCTGCTTCTCATCTTAAGCGAGACATGAATAGATGTAAGATGGCACACCGATCCCACATAGTAGCTTGTGGACCCGAGGGTCGCGTGCAGCATTTGGGCGCGTACGTAGCTCATTGGACTGCAGCCAGCCGCAGCTGAGCTTCGCGCTCTCCCATGTGCGATATTAAGCTTATATTGTGTTGCTTTACGTGTATACCTTGGGTATGGTACCATGGTAAAGCATAGGACACCTTATATTACATAGATATATTTACATATATGTAGTGATTAACACGAGGATGAATAATACACCTTTTCAAGTGTCGCGATCCTTGTATACTCCAACACATTGACATTAGCTCTGCAGGCAAATGCGGTCTGGCATAGTGGAAGAGAACTTGACTCTAGCGGCCTGCACAGATTTCGAGCTCTGCGGCAGGTGACTCAAAGTGAGCTCCAGCGTCGACAAAAGGCTCCGATATGTCTCCTCGGTGATTTTCCCGACGCCAAAGTCGCGATCGATAGCTTTGCGCATCAGTTGTACGCCCGCCACAACATGGTGCGGATACGGGTCGATCGACAGCAGAGGGACTGTGCGAGTCGGACTACCGACGAGCGCCATCTCCGAATCGGAGTCTCGCTTCAGAATCACCGTCGTGTGGAGGCCAAAGGCTAGGGTGTTCATCACTGTGATTTCCGTATTGCTGCTTATCTCTGCTAGATCCGCGAGCAGATCGTGGCGATCTGTGGCCTCGATGACGTCGACTAGCATGAGGATGCTGAGATGATAATGAAGCATGAGGGAGACTATGCGTTGATTAATTTCGTTAGCTTCCGACGTCATAATGGGCTAGAGTTTTGTGTGTGTGTGTGTGTGTGTGTGTGTGTGTGTGTATCACTTACACCAGCGCAGTTTCGTCTGTTGACCGAGGAATTGCAAGCGTTTGTGGCATTCGTCGAGAGGCTGACGATATATGGCGTTGAACTCCCTAATCGAGTCGAGGACAGCCGTGAACGCCCTGCGCACCTCAGACTCACTATGGCCATCTCTGACAGCCTCCTTGAAGATGGCCGTTAACTTCCATCCAAGGAGTTTCCAAGAGGCTCCGGCGGCGATGATCTGGTTCGCCCTCTCGTCGTTGATCTCAACGTTTTCTCGACGCCAACCATCCGCGGTTTCCCTAAACACCTTGGAACACGTCCTGACTAGCCGCCAGGGGAGCTCATGCTCGAAGCCGAACAGGCCCGAAGAGAGCAGCGGCCTGCAGTTCAGGGTTAGCGACGCAGAGGTGTCAAACGTCAGTGCCGCCCAGTACGCGGTGCTCTCGGCATTGATGAATCCGGACGTATCCATCGCGTCTTCGGTCGTCGCGGGCATCCTCCCCTGGCTTTCCAGCAACGGAGAAACTTTGGAGCCATTGAATTGGAGGTATCTTTGCCTCGCTCTCAGGGTTTGCACCTGCTGCAGCGCCGCGTGGACGCAAGCTTGGCCCGAAATGCCGTCCGCCTCCTCCTCCTCCGAAATACCGGATGGGATGGGCGTCAAGGCAAAGAGAAACAAAGACAACATGGATCGGTAGGACGGCCGGTTGATGATTCGAAGCATGTCCCTCCGAGCGTATCTCCAAAGCGCTCGTACCACGGCACAGTGATCGAACCCTGGTGGAGCGCCGGGAGAGGTGACGGGTAGCCATCTTGCTGAGAAGGCAGCAATGGTGCTCTGTAGGGAATACTCGCACTTCTGATCCTGCTGGCCTTTCTCCTGCTCGTCCGTGTCACCGGCCGCAAGGTGCTGGTCGTTGAGGGCCGACTCGGCCATCCATTGATCGAGATGACGGCACAAGTCAGAGATGCTCACATACTTGTGGGCGAGATGGTCTTGGCCGAACCTAATACATTGTTGGCCTCGAGGAAATTTTCTGAACCACGCAAAGGAGAGGTTTAGGCTGCTTACGAAAATGGACAGCTGTATCTGCCCATCCATGACCCGAAAACGGCCTCGAACCATTCTCTATAGAGTATTTGGAGCCGATTGGAATCTACTTCGCTGAGGACACCAGCACCAGTGTCCCGAGGCGTGACGATCAAGCAGGTTGGCGATGGAGGAACAAGTGGTGATGGTGACGGGCCCGAAGCTAATACTAACGTCGCCTCGCTCTCTACTTCGATGCTGCTTCTGCCCGAGACGGCGTGGAGCCACTCTCGCGAATGTGTCTCCACTGTAACATCAACATGCGCGCCACTGCTCCTCTGAATTGACGACGTATCACTTGGGGAATGGGATGCCGCTCCACGGCGTCTCTTGCCCCGTGATCCGCTCGATGCGCCTGCTTTGACGCCTTGCAGCCACTACATACACCCAGAAGCCAGGAAACAGGCAGCCAAGTCAGCCGTATTACTTGAAACGTTCGTGATGAGCCTTATGGTGGGAGAGGTTTCCTCCATGGTTCATACCCTGAATGTGCATGGTCGGTTCCGGTTGCGGCATCGGGTGCAGGGTTCAGACGAATGGCTGCCGCTGCCGGCGTTGGGAGCCGAGCCGTCGCAAGCAACGCGCGATCTGCGGCATTCGTCGCAACTGGAGAACTGGGTCCTGCGTGTTACGAGCCGCCCACTGGGCATTTCTTCTTAGGTTTGCTGAAGGCGGATCTTGTGATGTTGTGGGGCTCAATTAACTCGAAGAAGAAAAGGAAAAAAGGGATGGGAGGATGAACAGATTCAGAATCAGGGATCGGATCCGGAAATTTACTCTACTAGTAGTCTTAGTCTCTTCCGCCAAATTGAGGGGGTGGTTGAGTGGACACAAATATACGAGAAACTTTGGGGGTCAGCTTTGAGCCTCTCGGAACCGACAGGAGCCACGTTTTTGGCACTTGGGATGCGTGCAGATTGCAGATGGACACGTGCGGGGTAAAGCTTTGATCCTAAGTTTACTTCATGCTCCTTAGTCTGGGACTTTGGGGTAAAGATCGACATGGGTGCCATCCACATCCACGCTACTTCGGACGGCTGCCCCCTATGGCTGCCCCCGATGGCAGCCATCACCCCCGCAGCCCCATGTTCACAGACATCAGCGCCCTGGAGCTCGCCTTAATACGCTCCATTAACCCCCCTTCCAGGTCCTCTTCGCCGGGAAAAGTCCGACCCGTTAGCCCGTTCTACCAATCACCAACAGCAGCATCCTGTGGACAGCACGACTTTGAATCTCTTTGCAGAAGTAGTCGGCCCACCTCAAATAGATAAGGGTCTTGAATCGGCACTAAAAAGAGCGGGTGGTGGTGGTGGTGGGGAATAGATGTCTTCCCCGCATCACAGTGGCTGCAAACCGGGTGCCCGACCGATCGGATCAAAAGCTGCATATCGAAGGGGCCTTCGTGCGAGTGCTGTTTACTCGGCATATTATCGAAGGAGGCAGATACCCCAAGGAGCACCAGGCGCATGAGGACTTGGCATTTTGACATGGCCTTCCTGCATAACTTACATCAGATATCTGGGGTTGATGAAGAGAAGGTGGATAATGGGATAATGTGATACTCCCTTTGCTGCGACCATGCGCTTAGACAATAGCTCAAGGCCCGTAGGTAGGGCCGACAGCCGCGTTTAAAGAGTTTTCGTGACATTGCCGTTTTCTAAACTCTCAACCAGTAATCTAACGACCAACATGACCCAGAGGAAGACCTGAATTAACAAGACATCGGTATTCTTTGTCTCCGCAATAGTACATCATTATAAGATAAGAACTGTACGATATATGGCTGTGACGAATATTCCGCTCAGAGGAGAATAACTAACGGGTTTACAGGCATCAATAACTTCTTTTCATTACACCCCGAGGCGTGAGTTATGCTCCAAAGCTTCTCCTCTTCACTTTTCGATGATGGTCTGGTCTAGATGGCGAGATTGAATGGTAGGCACACGCGCGGGCTTCCAGCAGTGAATGAGAAGACAGCCAATCTTCTCTCGTGGCGGTGAGGACGTGAAGTCGATATTGGCTTTACGTAAATGGGAAGCTGACCAGGCTGGGGCTGAAGCGTGGTACCAACGGTTCATCCATCATGTGTTGTTGCTATTGGCTAAGTGTATCTATCGTGCATGTCGCTCCACTCTTGGCCGAATTCGATATTCAGCCACCTCCCCTTCCCAGAGGAGCAGATGAGCGAGCAAATTACCACAGCACCCGCGGCTGTTTCCAACCACCAGAAGGCAGTAACCAGTGACCCGACTACGTCGAGGATTCCTCGGACCGAGATACCTGTTGCTATATGCTGTCCTTGGCCACATTCATCGACGAAAAAATACGCTTCCAGTACCACCCCTTCAGATTCCTTTGTTGCGGGGTGTTTCCTGTCTCTTCGTTCAAAGTCGAATGGGTCAGGGGTCAGAATGACGGCCACAAGGAGCCAGGACGAGAACGGAACAGCAAATGCGCTACCTAGGGAGCCGCCAAAAAGGCGTTTCTGGATTCGCGGCGTCAGCTGCGTTATCGCACCTCCAGTTATCACTAGCTATTATATCTGGACCTATGCTCAGTTCGTTCACACCTCGAAAGCCGGTCGGGATGAGAACTCGCCGACTCCCGATGGGAGACATATCTGGTGGTCGTGGTTCATTCTTGGAGCTTTGGGGTTGAACATCTCCGAGTATGTTCTTGCAGGTGTTGAGGCGGGTATGCTCACGGCACCCAGGTTCGCGGCCTTGAACGCCGACCAGCTAGCCATGCACCGGGATAGATCTTGGAGCAGGGTAAGTGAATGGTCGAACGCGGTGCTGTTGATGTTTAGAAAAGAGAATCGATTGCGACTGGCAACGTCGCCAGTGTGGCTCCCTCTCTTCGCAGTCAGCGTATTATCCTGGGCATTTCCACTCACTGGTCTCACGATGGACACTAAAGATGCCTTTAAACCGGGACGATTCCGAGGAGTGAATGTCGTCGGTGCTAATGAAGAGACTTTCAATCATCGAAATGCTACGGAGATGCTCGCTGCCGCCTACAGAATATGGGGTAAGCGAGAGGAGGAAGCTCTCCCAAGAAATGCGGTGTTTTACTCCGAGCAAAGGACCGCTGGAGTCTTCAACATCTCTGGGGGGAATACCCTTCCATTGAGTGCCGAGAAGCCGATATTTCTCGCCCCGCAGGCCGAACTACCAGTTCACGGCGAGAACGTGTGGGGTCTAGTGTTCAAGTATCGCTGCGAGACGGTTACTGAGCTCGCCAGATTTGAACTCCTGAGTCGACGCATAAACTCCTCGGCGGAGAGCTATCTCTACGGCCCCAGGGAAGGATCCTGGGAAGATCCGAAACTCCCTGAGTTTCGGATCACGCTTCCTCACGCGTTCTATCGCATCGCAGACCACCCCAAGGCCACCATATCTATACTCAGCTTAACAAGAGAAAATGCCGTCCTAGAGATTGCTCTCAGCCAGGGAATTGAAGCCCTTCGGAGCGCCGAGCGCGGCTACACGACTGGCTCCTGGTGGGACGAGGATGTCCTTGAGGCTGTGCTGTGGCAGGAATTCGCGGAGTGGAAACTCAATAAGTGGGAACACGATGAATGGCGTGAAAATGCAATCAGTGACTTAGAGGGCGAGTATTTTATTCGAAAATACGATGACACCCCCAACACCCCTCTTTGGGCCTTCGGCGTGCAGTGTAAATCCTCTTCGACCGTTGGCACAGCGACACTCGATGGTTTCTCGGGGACTTTCCGCGATTTTCGTCCCGGAGAAGTGCCTCTGTACCGTGTAGTGGAGGGGGAGTCGGTGAGAGTTACACAAAGTTTACCTCGTTTCGGAAACGCCGTTCCTGCCGTGTTGCTTCCGGGGTTCGACGCGGAGATAAACGAAACGCTGCGGTACGAACGCTACCGTAGCCTGCTAGCTAAGGAAGATGAGCCAATATCAACTAGCTTTACGTACTTTGAGGTACCTAACCCCGGGGATGTGCTGGGTGACATTCTCGTGGAATGGGAGGATACTCTTAGGGAAGCGGCGGGGCTACGTGAAGAGAGAACATTTACCAGCGTCCCAAGAATTACACTGCGGCCACTGGCAGCCTCTGACCTCCAGAGGGCCCTCGAAGCGGCATACAGAGCCAATGCTCTAGCGCTCATGTATCACGATGGAGTCGCATTCGGTAATTCGTGGTTTCATGATTGGCTGAGACCTGCAGAGCCCTGGACGCAGCTGGTGCCCGTGGAAGGTTCCAAGGGCGTGCCAGTCGTACTTGTGTTAGTAATGCTGGTATTTTGGACGTTGGGATGCATGATCCTCGGCATCATATACTCGTTCAGGGAGAGATGGGACGCCTATTTCACTACACGGAGCATGTATTGGTATTGTGTTAAACTCGCTGGAGTCGACCCAGTCGAGGTGTTCAGATCCTGATATGGTCATCTCAGCTACTTGCATGGCGCCCATTCGTTGTATTTTACTATATACTAGCGATTTCAGTCACGAACTTCACTCGCTACATGATCCATGAATCATGTTCTACCCCACATCTGTAGAAGCGCTGCGTGATTGCACTTGCCCTCGGCGCTCAAAATGGTTATGTGTGTGCTAGTGTGGGTGAGCACGATAAAAGAGGGTATTTGTCTCTTGACAGAGGAAGTGAATTCAGTTAAAGTCGGCAATCTTCTTCTCCTGGCTGGAGGGCTGTAGCACTCGGGGCCTAGCTGCAAGCAGGGGTAGGGTTCCTTCCATTCCGCTTCAGAGATCGAAGTTGGGCTCGACAGCCTTAAAGAAAAGGCCGACTTTCGGAATGTCCAATGCAAACGAAACGAGTTGACGAGTACTACGAGGTAGTACGCCATATTTCCCGAAATCCCCTACCTCCGAGGCCCAGGACACGCGAGGGACCTTTGTTAAGGACCTTCCCAATTGGGTTCTGAGTGAGACGAGTGAGACGAGTGAGACGAGCGAGGCACCAGGCGTGGAGTCCAAATTGTGGGGCAGCAAGTGGGTTGCTGCAATAATGATATCGGCAGTGGAGAACTAGTCTACTGCCCGCGCCCGCATTTTGGTGTCTAACCTGGTCGGGTCATGGGCTGGGCAGACGGTCCAGATCAACCTGATTCTGGCAATGCGACTTCTAGCTCTTCCACGTGGCGTACCGATCGTGTCAATCTGGTCAGGCCGTCAGCCACGGAAGAAGGGTTCGCCCGAACTACCCCATTTGGGACCAGCCAAAGGAAGTCTTTTCCTCGATCGGGAAGTACTTTCGTAAATTCAAGGCAATCCGTGCTTCTTGCCCTGAAATTCAGTTGTTGGAATCGTGCAACAGATCGGATCCGATGCCGAATCAGGATCTGGATCCCTGTTCATGACGACTCCACCTTGGATGTCCATGTCGTCGTGCTGGGATCATCGGATCCGACTTGCATTCCTGGGGACCGCCAAAAAAAACCAAAGAAGATGCCGACGATGTGTTAGTTTTGAGTTCGTGGTGTGATGGTGTGATGAGTGATACAATTTAGGAAATAATGGGCTGCTCGAGAATAATTCTGTTGCGGTTTACGCGGACCTGTGTGGCCCAGAGGATAATCGGAAGCAGGAATGTAGGAGGAAGAGACACTTTAACGTGAACATCCAATTGAGTTTGCCCTGTCCTGTGTGCCGTGGGTGCGATGGAGCCGCAACAATGTCTGCTTGATGGCGTCGGATCCGAGACCCCCCTCCCCTCTTGGTACGGAAGCGCTTTCGCCACGGAAACCGCCGGATGTCTTTCCACCAAATTGCCGGTCTCGACGCCGAACCCCACAACATCATCCCTTCAACGCGTAGAAATTTGCGGGGAAAATATGGGGTAAGGGTTAAGGTTGTATGGGGTAGGATGGAGCAGGATGGGGTAGCACGGGGAGCCTCTCAAAGCATACTTAAGACCTTCGATATCCCGTTCATCTGCCCCCTTGGGATCGACAGAGGGTCAAGCTCAATAGCACAAAGACGCAGGGTCTCTCCTTAATACTACTTAACTTGCCTTGTCTGGCAATCAATTGATCCTTGTGCCCTCGAATCTACCTGCCAAAAGTCGACCACCCATCATCATGGCGTCGCCTACGCCTTCCGACAAGAAGTCTGACCCTGCGGAGACTACGCCTGACCACAACTCTGACGGCTATGGAAAGGGAGAAATTGCTTACATCGATGCGGCCGAAACGACGCTAGAGTCGTTCTCGCATCTCGATGAGAAGAAGATTCTGCGCAAGGTATGCTGGCGTTGTCGCAGCTCTCGATGGTTGTTTTGTTTTGGCTTTCGTTCTCACAAGCTCGTCTAGATGGACCTTCGACTAATTCCGTTACTCGCCCTTCTCTACCTGCTATCTTTCCTCGACCGTAAGTCGAATTGAACACCCACCACCCACCTTACGGAAACGGCTTTTGTCTGACAGAATCATTCCTCAGGTGGAAATATCGGAAACGCCAAGATCGAGGGCCTTCAGGAAGATCTCAACATGAAGCCCGATCAGTACAATTGGTGCCTCACGGTCTTCTTCTTCACCTACGCCGCGTTCGAAGTCCCTTCAAATCTACTTCTCAAGAAACTCCGCCCGAGCATTTGGCTTCCTACTATCATGGTCGCATGGGGAGTCGTGATGACTCTGATGGGCATCGTGAAGAATTATCACGGGCTACTAATTGCACGTATCTTCCTCGGCGTCACAGAGGCCGGATTGTTCCCCGGTGTTGCGGTCAGTTTGCCCCCTCCTCATGTTCCCCCCCAAACAAAATGAGCAAATCTGACGTTCATTCACTCTTAGTACTATCTCACCATGTGGTACTGCCGTCACGAAATTCAATTCCGCCAGGCCCTATTCTTCTCAGCCGCCTCCATTGCCGGTGCCTTCAGCGGTCTCCTCGCCTTCGCCATCGCCAAGATGGACGGAATCGGCGGACTAGAGGGCTGGCGCTGGATCTTCATCCTCGAGGGCATCGCCACCGTTCTCGTCGCAATCATGTCCTTCTTCGCCCTTCACGACTTCCCAGAGACGGCGAAATTCCTTACCGAGGAGGAGCGTGCGTTCGTCGTTTACCGCTTGAAATATCAGAGCCAGATCAGAGGTCAGGAACAGGATGGCCACGTCCGTGTCCCTGAGGCCGATGAGTTCAAGTGGGCGTATGTATGGAGCGCGTTCAAAGACTGGCAGCTTTGGGTTAACATCTTCGTCTACTGGGGTGTACGTGACCTACGGCTCCACCTAGCATTCATTCGTCCAGGATACTAATAGGTTCCCAGATTGTCTGCCCTCTCTACGGAATCAGCCTCTTCCTTCCAACCATCATCCGAAGTCTCGGATACACGAGCAGCAAATCTCAGCTTATGACCGTTCCTATTTATGTCACGGCCGCCATTCTGGCAGTGATAGTCGCCTGGACTTCGGACCGCGTTGGAAAGAGAAGTCCCTTCATCATTCCACTTCTGTGCGTCATGCTCGTTGGTTTCGCCATGTAAGTTATATCCGGAAGCGCTCTCTCTGATATAAACTCTTAAGCTCTTGGCTAATCATCTCTCCCATCAGGTGCATCTCCACTAGCAATCCCAAGGTAGTCTACGGTGGTGTCTTTATCGCAGCCTGTGCCATCTACCCAGCCTTCCCCGGCTGTATCGCCTGGCTTTCGAACAACTTGGCCGGCAGCTACAAACGAAGCGTGGGGATGGCGCTTCAGATTGGTATTGGTAATCTTGGCGGTGTAAGTGCGATCCTAGATGTAGACTTTGAGGAAACATCGCTAACAGGGGATTACTTTAGGCCATGGCTTCCAACTTTTACCGACAAAAGGATGCTCCTCGATATATTACCGGACACGGCTTGGAGCTTGGCTTCATCTGCGCCGGCATTCTTGCCTGCCTCATCCTCATCTTTGGATACAGTCGCAGCAACAAGAGTCGTGAGAGGCAAATGGCCGCGGGGGTGGCTGACCAGTTTACGACTGAAGAGTTGTCGGCGAAGGGTGATAAGGCTGTGACCTGGAGATATATGTACTAATAGTTTCTTGAGAGTTTGGAGACCTATATTCATTGAACTGATCAAGACGGACGAAGGCACCGCCAACGGTCGGGTCTTCAAGGACTAACGAGTGCAGGATCCAAGCATGCCTTTAGTTTATAAACTACAGTTTTTGTGCGCCTCGATGTTCCTTTAGACTCCTCGGTAAACAGTTAATCATCGCCTTGATTTCTCAAGTTGGGTTGTATCTTATCGCCCCTTCGTCGACTGGTTCGGGAGGAGCATCATGGTACTCTCTCTTTTCCTAAAGCTTGGCAATGCGGTGCATCGCTGATATATCGCCCAACTATACTGCCGATATTGTTTAAATTCAACCTTACATGGTATAACAGCTCAAGGTGGGGAGAGTATCTTCCAAAGGCTACGTGGCCTATAGGCCTCCAGGTTCTTTCCCGCTGTTTGAGCGAGGCAACTTCCAAAGATATGGCTGCGAGGTAGTTGTTGCCTTATTCTACTATCGAGCCTATCTCTTGGTAGCCGCACACCCATCGCCTACTTCTTAGCTACAGAGACGATATTGAGACGTCTCGGAATAGCACCGTTTCCCTCTTACCTTCCAAACTCTACATCCTAAGAGCGTATTATAAATAAAATATTACCGATCTGTAGGGTGACCCGGAAATATTAGCGTTTATAATACCCCAACGACTAGGAGGTCTTTCGCTCATAAGTGTGGATTAATACTACAATTTCATCCCGAGGGTGTTCTGACCTCGTTTCTTCGCATGGCGTACTTTATCCTCAAACGACAGATTTAAGACGAGTGACGAGAGTTGGTGTATGTCGACTGCTTTATGATGGGTATTTCTATTTATATATTATCGTGAGTTTCCAATGTTGAGGACTAACCCCCCCCCCCCCCCCCTTAACTCTCCCAACCCCCCCAAAGCGACTATGGCTCTAGTTTTGGAGCTTGCCAAGCGAGACATGAGATCCCGGACACGCACAAAGAATCTGATTCCTTTGGGATCTTTGGATATTGTAAAACGCCCAATATAACTATCTCTCATATTTTCCGGGAATTTTATACTTAAAGTTTTATCTAATATATAGTGTCCACAGAACCACCACCCTTGTACTCACGAACAGCTCCTAGACTATAGACCTCGAAAGGCTGGATTCGGGGCAAGGATAACTGACACCGACACCGGAGAATGAGCCCTACCTCGTCATCAAGGATGGAGCCTCCGTCCCCTCCGAGCATTTTACCGTGCAGACTATCTTTTTCAGTGCCATCTCTGTGGCACGAAGGATCTTTGGTGTTTGATTCCAGGATAAACAGGGACTTGGGTGCGAATACCTGAATATTGGATTATGGGCTTTGTTCTACCAACTGCTGGTCGGCGGTGGGTAGGGCCTGCCGCGTATCTGGGTGGTTTCTGCTGCAGAATGAGCCCATGTACTTTTCTCGATAGTAATTTAAGTTGAGCCATGAGTTGATTCTTCCTTCCCCTCTGCGCTTTGCCAAGTCTCTATTTCCGGAATAGCTTCTTTCTCGCCCTAGAATTCAGTTAGGAATGCGGGCCAAGATGATGAAGGATCTGGGCCAAGATAATACACTTTGATGCTCGATCGCTCTGAGGAACCTTTGGCTTTCGTGACTCTAGAAACTTGCGGATGAAGAACGGCTCTTATGGGCGTAATGGCTCGTCCCTGATGTAGGGCTTTTACTAGGGCTTTTACTAGGTCTTATTGAGTTGTTTTGGTGCAACTATAGCTGTAATTAAATGGGGAACTAGCAACTAGGAACCTATTAGTTGATCGAGTGTTCGTTGACAGGGGCGTTCACTTAAAGGTTTAAACCGACTAATGTCTTCAATTCAAACTGGGCATTAGTGTGTCGTCCAGAATCCTCCGAGGCCTGAACTCGTCCTCCAAAGAGTAGCCTCATTCGGTATAACAGAATCTGAATTTACAGCCGTCTGGGCCATTCCAGTCTCGTTTCTGAGTCGTATAATACTAGGCAAGCGAGTATATTCTCGGGGCTAATACTACCATGCTAATTTCCATTGCATGCCAAGGGATGTTCTGAGATCTCTGTTGGCTTATAACTTGTATGCATAGGTCGGCATTTAGAATCCGACCGAATTCGGAAATATGCCTATTGCCGCCAGAAACAACGCCAGGTTGACAGCCAATCTGGTTGGAGCAGTGGCATGGTGACTTTATCGAGTGGCGGCCTCGCTGACCTTTTCAGTGCTTTTGTCGAGTGCTTCAACTACATCGACGCCGGCAGGAGATATGAATACGACTGCGAGATTCCTATCGCCAAGTTCTGCATCCACGGAAACGCAAAGTTGCGATCCTTTGCATTCTACGTGATGACACGATGGTTGCATTGCGCATCCTTGACCGAGTTTGTCTTTGTTATTCATAGAGGGTCAAGGAGGAAGCAAGGCAGCCGACACGAATCGAAGTTTAAATTTCGAAGATGATAAAGTGAAAAGGCGAAAGTAGTCGACCCAGTTCCAAAACCATAGAGTTGTCCACTAGAAACGGAATAGCACTTTTTGTTATACTAAATTTAGTGCTTGCCCCTCAATTTAATAAAGGAACACTAGTTCTGATCAAGGGCAGAGTAATTCCCGAAAGTATGCTGCCAATTTGATCATCTTCTCTGACTTAACCTCCCGTGAGCTCTCGAAGCAGCTTGGCCGATACGGCTTTTCCTAAAGAACCGTGGACTTGACTTGCGGCAAACTTGGTTGATATTAAATTGCACGTTGGGCTATGTTACAGTAGCCATCTTCTATCCTCTATCGGGCTTACTAGGAGTCTATGCTATGTTACCTGCTGGGCTCTTGGAATCAGAATAGCAATGGTCCAGACCAATTAGCCAAGCTGGTTTTCTCTCATCTGCCAGAGGGTGAAGCTTGATCACCCGAGTTGATAAACTCGTCCACCTTTTTTCTTGCGTCATCATCCAAATTTCCTGTCGCGATATCTAAAACCTGTTTCAGGCTCGCCAAAGATAGAGAATCTCTTTCCTCTGACCCAGTGAAAAGTTTTAAGACGTGAATGACGTTCTTAATGGTCCTTCCATCCATGTCCAGCTTGGCTAGCCCTGCAAAATCATCTCTAGAGAGAGCGTCTGAGCCCCATCCCCCCTTCTCTATCTCCCATCGCCATATGGCTTCCTTTTCGGAGGCGCTAAGTTTTCCGTACTCAATAGAAACGTGGATGCGGGAGTAAAATGCTGGGTCAAAGTCTTTTCGGCGGTTGGTCGTGAGAATGACTATCCCAGATTGGTATTCAAGCAGCCTAAGAAGCACTAAATATCATAGTTAGAAACGCTGGCACTGACAACAACTCGACCACCCAAATTTCAAACAAACACGCTTATGCATACCTGAGACCATGGCATTCCTCTCCAGGCTGTCATCTGCTCTCTTGGCCATGAAGGCGTCTGCCTCGTCAAACAGCATGACGGCTCCCCACCGAGTGGTTCGATTGAAAGCCTTGAGCAGCCGGCTCTCGACTTCCCATGTTTCTGTTCCGAGATCGCTACCGCTTACACGATAAAGAGGGAGATGCAGAAGTTCCGCAACACACTCTACAGATGAGACCGGTCAAAGTCAAAAAAAAGTGGTCCGCAACTAGCGATGGATGGGATATCTGGCAATGAGCACATACCGGCCGTTAGAGTCTTTCCTGATCCCGAGAGGCCATATAGAAGAATCAGGAGTCCCCTTCCTTTATTCTCAATCTGGTAATCAAACTGCTCGGACAGGAAAGAGAACCCTGATGTAACCCGGAGGACTGATCGCATCCTATGGGACGATTGCCGGATATGCTCCGCTCGATCCTCCTCCCAGACGATTGATGTGAATCCATCGACCTGGAAATATCCTGCGTCCTTGGTGACAAGTGAGTACCCCGCAATCCTGGACGGCAACGTCATGAGCTCGTCCGGTGTGAGAGACGTCACGTCGACATCTCGGAGGTGGTCTGGGGCTTCGATTGGGGCGTTTGCGTCGCTATTGCTACTTTCACTGTCACTGTCTCTAGCATCGCCAGCATCAGAGCTAAAGTTATACGATTTCGATCGTGCGTTTGAAAGGGAGCTGGCGATGATGCGCTTCGCGAATATTCCGTGCTCGTTTATGAAACCAACGGGATCAATCATAACGCGACCGGCGATCTGCTTGACGGTCAATTTCCACGCATTTCTGAACCAACGCCGTGAAAATGGGGGAAAATCCTACAGTTCTCTCCGGAGCGTCAAAGAATTCACATCCTTTCGTCTCCCACCTCTCGCGCTGAATCCATATGGAACCGCAATATGTCATATGGGTGGGAGCACCGAGGCCCTTGGCGTTTCGGCACAGTTCAATAAACGCCTTTCCCCTCCTCACAAGATCTTTGACCGTTTCGGCACGGTCGGCACAGTAGGCGAGAGGATAAGCCGGAAGCGCAGAAATTGCGACCTGACCGACAAAGGCCGGAAATTGAAACACTTCCTCGATGGCACCGAAACGCCCTCTTTCAAAGGTCATATGCAGCACCTTCAGACACCACTTTACATTCCCGTCTGCGTCCTTCTTGTTAAAGAAGGACCGCAATACCCCACACAGCGTCTCGAACCGCCCGCCGGTATCTTGCCGACGTAGTAGCACATGCTCACCGGGCTTGAAAATGGCCCATAGGTAGTCCATCGAAATTTGACCGGCCGATGTCAGTGACTCGATGCCATCAATGGCTCGACCTAGGGACTCATGCAAAAAATTTTCGAGAGTATTAATCTCTGTTTTTAACCGCTTCTCTTCTAAGATGGGCAGGTCTGCAACGGCGGCGGTGGCTGCAATTTCTTTGCGAAAATGATAGAGCTCGTGGTAAGGCGCCTTGACGACGATGGGGCTCGTATGGATATTCAGAGTACTGAGATGGGGGCAAACCGCGCGAATGACGTTCTGGAGCAGATCGGACTGGATCTCCAGCTCCAGCACTGGCTTCTTGTCCTTGTGGACGTTTCGACGGAGGAGCAGGGAGTTGGGTCCGAATCGCTTGTTGACGGTGCTCCTCGGCGCAGCTATCTGATCCGTCAGGTGGCAGTCACCGGGTTCGTTGTCAGAGAGCCAGATTTGCGTAATGTCGCAAAGCCGGCCGTTGAAAGTCGGGCCATTGCTCGCTTCAGTTGGGTCGCTGTCGATGTTGCTACTTGTTTCTCGCGGTCCACCGAGCCGCAAGTCTGCGTACAAAGAGAAAAGAGCGGGGGAGGAGGTGGTCATTATTATAAATGAAGCTTCCTCCCACAGGGATGCCAGTAGGAAAATGCAGTAGGAAAATCGTACGCCTTTTGCTCTTTGGTGGAATTTAAAGTACGCTGGAGTTATTTGAAAGAGAAGTCCCAGCGCATTGGTTCAAGGGTGAGAACCGGGCCGGGGAGAGGTAACCCGACCTGGCTTGAGGACGATTCAGACCTGGAAATACATAATTGGAGAATGTGCGGCGCAGGCCATTTTCCACTTTCCAGGGTCAGGGAAATATGTGACTGTTCTTCATTCGATAGGACGGGACGGGTGATAATTGGGCGCAATTGCTGCATCCTGAAGATCCTTGGAGGCTTGGGCAGGCTTGGGCAGGCTCTTGCAGCTCAATACGACCCCAATTGGAATTTATTAAAGCGTCTGACATGCCCACATCTAACGGGCTGCCTCCCGCCGCAATAGGATACATTCCTGCACCCTCGCGCCGTCCAAAAGAAAAAAAAGTCGCAGCCCGATGTTATCAGTTACCATTGCCCAACCCCGATAACTATTCGACTCCCATGACTCAACGGGATACGACTGATCGCCTCGCGCGGCGAACTACTCTCCTCGATCCGGAGGAACCTATCGGAGCAGTGCCAAAACGGCGGACGCAAAGCGGGATCAAGGCTGAAACTGGCGGGGCGTCGGCTCCGCAGAGGACACAATGGAACCTGGACGCCGATCAGATCATCGAGAAGCTGAAAACGAACCAAACTTTCAAAACCAAGACCGATTTTAACGCAATGGGTCTTCCTATTTTTGGGGACATGACGCGCTACGGAGTAACAGAAGAGAAACAACTCGAGCTCTTCTCTGCTGAGGTGCGGCGCCTCGTCAAGATTGTAAATTCCGCCGAGCCTATCAGTCTCGAAGGCGAAGACGACTGGTTCGGCCATACTGATGAGGACGGCTATGGGCGTCTGAATAAACTGTCCAGGCAGCTAGTCCTGGCTATCTCCATCTGCCTTCACGATGTGCAGCTTCAGATACTCAAACACAACGCCCACGAGACGCAGTTGGAAGCCTTTATCAAGTCGCGCGAGATATTACTCAGGGAGTTCGGCCCCGATGCTCCTAAAGACCCAGCCGAAACCTGGAGTCAAATGCGACTCGAGCACGTTAACGACAAGGCGTTACACTGTCTCATAAACTACCTAACCGGTACAGTGATACAGGTGCTTCTGCGGACAATGCACGGAAAGATGTGGGACGATAACTGCATCATTGGCATAGCGAAATGCGCCGCCAAGATCAAGGTGGTTGCTATGGACTTGCCGTATGCGGCCGAGATGTGTCTTTCGGGAAAACGGGAATGGCTGAGAAATATGGAAAGACTCATCAGCCAAGAGCCGAACCCAGCGACTAACGAGGAGAAGAAGAGCGAAGGGAAAACGGCCGCCGAGAAAGAGGTAGCGGCCATGGGTAGGGTAGTTTCGGTTCGAGCAACCCGGTACTTTAAGGTCATGCATGCGTTTGGCCACGGTCTCCTTGTGATCTTATACGAGGTCGTGGTGGCGCTAGGAACAGATCGCGAAGCAGCTCTCCCACCTCACGTCTTCGAATCATGTTCTATCGTCTATGATACCGGGTTCCGAGGCAGGCGCTCTAGGCTATGCCAAGAAGGCAATGGGGCTATTGGCAGCTCAGGAAGTCGCGAGGATGTCCATTGTTCCAGTTTCACCTTTGACGTCTGTCTCAGAGCCTTTGAGAACTTGAAACAACGACAGGATCGGTGCCTAAAGACCGCTCGAGGAGCGGCAGCGATGTCGACGACGCTTGTATACTGGAAACGGACAGAGCTTCGTTCCGAGGCGGATGACCTCGCGGATGAAATGGATATTTTCAAGGGCGACCCCCAGGAAGGGCAACTTGAGATTTCACTGATGCGAGACGCCATCACCGCCCTGATCCCCTTCTACATGGTCTGTGGCGGGTTCCCATCCGCGCTGGCCTGGGTGTCCCGACTTGCCATGTCCGCATCGGACTACGGTGATGCCATCGCCATGTGCTTTGAAAATCGGTTTCTGGCGTCTTTTTTGATTCGGACAAGCGAATACGAAGCTTTCAAAAAGAAAACCCAGGGCGACGACCCCAACGTAACCTCGGTTTCGACGTGTCCGCTCGCCGAGGAACGCGCCCTTGCCCACGGGCCCATGTCGTCAACAGCTCAGAGCAGAGCCATGATGGACGGTGACCGGCGGCTCCGACAGCAGCTCCTTCAAAAGAACAAGCTAAACAACGCAGGGTTGGAAAAGATGGAGCGGTGGATTATCGACAACGACTCCATCATCATCGAGTACCGAAAGTACTGCTGGGGCACACTGGCGAGCTGCGCTGTCCTCATCGTCGGTGGTCTCGCTATTGGCTTTAGCGTCAACGAGCGAATCCAGGGTGTAGATCCGTTCAACATCTCCGTCTTCTGCTGGGCCCTGGCCGGTTTCATCGTCATCTTCATGAAGTCCATCCGGGTCGAAAACTGGCCGTGGCGCGACTTCTTCCGTGGTCGTGTTGTGTGCCGGTCGGTCTCCGAGGTTTTGGCCGTTTCGCGCATGGAGGAGCAGCTCTTCCTGACCATTCTGCTCAGACTGGAGCCAACCAATTTCATGAATAAGAAGGGACCTTTCTGCGCCGTCTTTATGCGAACTAATCCCAATTTGCCCGCCTTCCACATCGACGTGCCCTTCAAAACGGAATCACTCATAGCAGCGGGCCTCTTCTTCATCAAGGTCGAGAGCATAGACGGGCCGGCACTGGCGATCATTCGTGCAACGACCAAATCATCATACAACGCGGTCGAGCCGCAAAGCCTCTCTCAGGACGAATCGGATGTCAAATGCCGGGACTTTCGTGACCCCGCGAAATGGGGCAGGGGGAATGAGCAACGAAATATGTACGGTCTCAGTACGAACGAGTTGTCTTGGTCTCGAGTATTCGGTATATTCTGGGAAGATGCTTATTATCAGTGAAAACCTACAGGTGTATATATACACGGTATTGATATCGTAATGTTTAGCTCTTGGTCAACTTTCACGGAGTCGCACGCACCTAAGTCCAAATAGACGAGTCTAAGTAATAATTCTCTTCTTCGCTATGTGCCACAGGGCAAGGAACAGGAAACACTGGGGCCATGAATCCCGTGCTTTGAATGTGCTTATTGGAGCTGGCGCGGGCCTAAATGCTCGAGATAAACATGGAGCGACACCTGTGCACCATTTTCTAACGTGGGTTCAGTCAGCGGCTCCATCAACGGGAGTTTGCGGGCCCCTTCAAAGGCTAATGGAACTCGAGCAAGACCTCGACCTCACCGCGAAATCATATGAGGGGATATAAATCCTCGACCTCCTCGTCATCGCTCACCGCGAAATTCCCAAGGGCGGGGAACTAGCTATAAAAAGCATTGTCCAGGGAGCCACAATAAAGCCTAAGTCTAGATCATGGAAGCATGACCTTACCAGAGCATGCCGAAAGTCAGATTTAGCACATGTCAAGTTTCTCGTTTGGCGTTCCGAAGTCTCCGGACAGGAGAACATATCATCTGAACGGTTTGAGGATGCTTTGATAGCCAGTTTCGAGGCTCGGTCACGGCCTGTTGCTGACTTTCTTTTGTCATATCTCGTGCATGGGGCTAGCCAATCGGTAGACGGGGGCAAATTGATGGCCTGGAGCCTAGAAAAGAGACAGTCCATCTTGTGTGCCGCGGTTGAGAACGATCTACCTGAACTGGCCTCCGTCCTGAAGATGGCGGAGTGGCGGGCCCGATTGAGGTCCAAGACACTGAACAAACACCATCACATCTGGTGAGGACATTTTGAAAGAATTAGTTTGGAACAGTAATATTATTAGCTGGTTATATCTTTACCAAAGTTGGCGATCTCATCATGTTCAGTCTGACAGGCGGAGCCAAGTGATGAGTCGGAGTAGTTTGTAAAAACAGTCTGAAGCATTTTATTCAGCAGTCAGCGGCGACTTTCTCAACCACCCCCCGCCTGGTCAGGTGAGTGTCTTGTTAGTGAAGCTACGGAGCCTGTCGGAGCCTAGTACAGTAAATCATCATGTTTCGCTCTGAATAATCTTTGATTAGTTTACTTTAGTGGCGGTATGACAAATACCCTAGTTTAATTCGGGGAACATCAGCGGGGGACGTCAGCGGGGAACGTCAGCGGGGAACGTCAGCGGGGAACAGTATCGGGGAACATTATCGGGGAACATTACAGAAACCAATTTATATTACTCCGTACCTACCTGATGGCATCAGCCATCTCTCGATCGTTTCTTCCTGCCAGCACATTGATCACGTCAATACCTAAATCATATTAACAATGCCTTCGGCCGGCCAAAGTTTGCTCGAGATCGATAGTCTCGAGATACATGTGCTCGTAAACGATGAGATCGACCAGATATCACCAAGTCCGAATCCTCTAGTCAAGCATACACAATCCTTTGCTGGAGTGCCCCTCAGCCCAGTCCCCGACCCGGCAGCACGGGGCGGAGCTAAGCTTGAGATGCCAATGCGTAACATTTGTTGCGGTGCGCATGGCCTCTCTTTATTCATTGTAATTATAGCCTTAATCCGTGTACTTGATGTTGAAGCTCACCAAGCACCCAGACGGCCTCGAAAGACGGCGTGAGCCGTACGCTACTTTTTGACGCTGGACCTGAGGAAGACGTATTCGAGAGGAATGCCAAACGGCTCAGGCTCCCAATTGGCGACGTTGGAGTAATTGCTCTTTCGCATTGGCACCGTGACCATTCGGGAGGTTTACTGTCTGCTATTAGGCTAGTTAATAGCGGCAAAGCAGACGACAGTCCAGTAGTTGTGGCCTTGCCTCCCAATAGGCCCGACTATCGTGGCGTCATGTTTGACGCGCCCGTGTCTCTCGAGCCGGATCCGACTCTTCAGGAGATCCAAGATGCGGGTGGGAACATCGAAGTCATTGACCAAGGACGCACGGTGCTAGACGGCATGTTTTTCATCTCCGGTGATATTCCCCGGGAGACCTCCTACGAAGGCGGCATTCCTGGCGGTATTAGATATAGTATAGAAAGTGGAAAATGGACCAAGGACGAGTTGATTATGGAGGAACGGTATGTCATGTGCAATATCAAGGGTAAGTCTATATCTCCCGACGTTAGGCTCCTTCATAGCTAATTGCCACACCTAGGCAAGGGCTTGGTTATCTTCACCGGCTGCAGTCACGCTGGCTTGATAAATATTGCCAAGAATGCGAAGGAAATCACCAATAATCCAATCCACTCCATAGTCGGTGGCTATCACCTAGCCGATGCTTCGCCCGAGAAAATGAGCCACAGCATGAGAGATCTAAAGGAGCTTAAGCCAGCTCTTCTCATGCCGGGCCATTGCACTGGGTGGAGGTTCAAGGGACTGATTGAGAATCAGATGCCTGGCCAAATGGCTCCCATCTTCGGCGGTATTAAATACGTTCTTTAGTTCCATACAGCACAAAATGAAATCAAACATCAACCCTGACTCAGGTCACTCATCAGTAGCTACATTTCCAGGTAAAACGATCGTACATTGCTAAGACTGTTCCAAGCGAAGCTGGGAAGCCATGAACAAGAACTTCTTGATGATGACCTCCCCAGTTGGTTCAAGATCGTGTCTGGTGAAGCCAGACTCATTATGCCTCCTCGCCTTCTCTCTTAATAGATATTTCTGCCCTTTTAGACAGCCAGAACATGCTCCACGGATCAAAAGACATCTTGTAGTATTGCTTTAAAACTACATTCAAGCCGTAGTTGCAAACTTCAGGATTGGGCTGAATGCACTCAAAAAGCTGAGCAGATTCCCTGTGCTCTTAGCCGCTGAAACAAATATTAGTGCAATGTCTCCGGTCCATCCCAGGCGTTCGTCTCTTTGAGGACAATCGACTGGTATCGAGAAGAAGTTATCCCTCATTTCCCAGCGGAAGTTTTCGTAGAGTGTGTTGAGCAGAGGCTCTGAGCAAGCAAAAGACCCAGCGTCCTTAATGTCTGTGTGACAGATAACTGCCTCGACGCAGCTGAGATCGACTTTCCCGCCCCAACCGTCTATCTGAATGTATCGGAATCTATGAAACGTGAATCGCGGCTCACACTGTTCGCCTTCGCCGGCTCCTTTGAGCGTGCACTCATCCTGCGCCTTACATTTGCGGAGAGTACGAGTGCAAAGCTCACCCATTTCCAAAACTTCGGCTTGTGAGATCCATATCTTCTAGCCTTTCGGTCCCTTTGTATTCTTGGACCTGACGCACCCGACCAAGTTTTGGCCGAAGTCGATTACCGTTTTGTTTGAGGGTGTCTGGATTTTCCGAACAGGTTTAACCACCTCTACTTGCCGGACTGACTCCCCGTAGCCGGCGACTAATTCGACCGAGTTAGGCAGTGGCGGTAGAAGAACACCGGGCTCCCAAATGGAGTTCCCAACCGATCCTTCGCCCATCGGAGACGACCAGAGTGGGATTTCTGGTGTGGGGGGCACCGTGAGCCATCTCAGTACTGTCCTTCATAGGCTCGACGAATCTCATAGAGGGAGTACCCGGTAGCAGAAATAATGTGTACATGGAACTAAGAAGTCTGTCATATAGGCCGCACGAGAGCAAATGGCTTTCCTCTCGCCACTCCGTTTTAAGTACCTACTTAGAGACAACTTTTTTTCTTATACTCTACTATTTGTAAATCTGAGTCTTCCTATTCATATAAATTATCTATATAGTAATTTTCTAGCACTAACTATATTATAGACCTTGCCTCAGTAAGACAGAGACTTAGGGGGAAGTAAATTATTCTCTATTTACAAAGAGCTCATGCAACTCCAAGTGTATAGAGTTTGCCCAGTAATAAGTCCTTGGATTTTTTTTAGGAAAAAGAAAAAGGTGGCAGAGCTACCTGCCTTCTAGGGCCCGGTTAATCTCCATTCGCGCCAGTCGATACCCACCCATAAACAAATCCAGCCTCTTGATGTCCTTCTCCAGCAAGCCTTTGCACGATGCAAGTCCCGCCGTCTCTCGGCTAACCAACTCCTCCAAAACGAGCCTACTCGAGCTAGACAACAGAGTCTCCGATGCCGCCACGGCTTTCTGTAAATCCACAAACGCAAGGGACATGCCAAGCAACACGTCCACATTGGCAACCGGGCATTTCGACAGGCGGATCATCGTCAAGGCGAATGAAGATGGGAACCGCTCGAGAATCTCTGCCAACGATTCAGGAAGCGGTCGCACGCCTTTGCGGCCTAATATCTCTAGTCCGAGTTGGATGAGGTCTGGCTTGGCCGTCTCGTTGAGTCCGGGGACCCCGACGCTGGCCGTATCGAAACCGTACTGTGCTCGTAAGACCTGGACGATCGCGCAGCCGAGAGGCTTAGCGGCTCGAATGGGAACGGAAATGTAGGACTCTAGGAGGCAGATCTGGCAGAACCACAAAGGTGCAATTCTATACCAACTTTCATCACCCAAAGTTGGGATTTCGGGTACGATTTGGAATCTCTCGGCCGCGGCGAGCATGTCAGTCTCGTCTATGCGGAGCCACCGGTCTGTGGTCAATTCGGGGACGCCACTGTCCTTGAAGTGTGGTCGTCCAGCAAAGTTCCAATAAGTCTGCGATGTCGTTGGTACGAGGCTCAGGGAGTTGATCCACTTAGAAAGCGTACGGATTTCGCCCTCCGTGAAGGCGCCGAACATCCTCCCGCCCCAGCAGGCTTCGCGAATCAATCTGCTTTTAGCGGCGTTGCCCCAGACAATCCACTTCGAGTTACTCAGATCGTGCAGAAATTGTACCTGCGCCGACACCGACGAAAAGCTGTCGGGGTTTAGCAGCGTGGATAGCGGCTTGCCACCGATCCTGGCCGGGCATGCGAGGTGCAGCTTCTGCGATACGGCTGCCTTGGCTCGTAGGAAAGCTACGGCGTCGCGCTCGTCGTTTTTCAACGGTCGTTGGGATGGTACCTTTGGTGCTGGTGAAGGAGGCCAGTCTGGTATCTCGCCCATGCTGGCGGACAAAGCATAGCCGGCTTGAATGCGCTTCCAGGCTAGATGGGCAGCTGCGCCACCGTCGACTCCTTCGACATAATCTAGGTACTGAATTACCGACTGTGCTGACATCATGGCGTGTCCGCAGTGTAGATTGTCAATGGTGATGTGAAGGACAAAGTACCTCGGGTCGACTTTGAGCTCCTCAAGTTCCTTAGCCAAGATGAGTGTTCGTAGAGAGATGGTTTCAAAATGGAGGTTGAAGCCGAGCGCCTCGGGGAGGTATTCGTGGGGGAACAGGGAAATAAGGAGCTGGGCAACAGCAGACTTGAATATCCACGCATTATCGAGACCGTGCTTGGGATCAACAAAATCCCATGTGTCCGGCGAGGGTAAGTCGACGCCAAGGTTCCAAAGCAGTTCCTGATAAACCCGGGTGTGGCTTTTTTCAATGTCGCCGTCGCCGAGCTCCTCAGAGAGGACCCTCCAAGCGCCGCGCGTCACCGGCCTCAGCGGAAACGGCGTGTCGGCGACTTGATGGAGGTGGCCGAGCCATGCACCGTCTACCAGTTTTATAGGAGACAACTGGCCAAGGGCTTTCGCAGCCTGTTTTCGATCCGTGAGGAGCTGTCTAGGATTGCCGGCCTTTCGGCCCCGCAAATACTCCTCGTAGGCATCTTCAACATCACGGTGGAGTTCGTGAAGGTGTGAGAGCATGGCATCTTTATCAAAGCCCTCGATGGCGAATATGCCTGTGCGCTGTGAGAACTCGGGGGATGATTCAAGGGATTCGGATAAAATCGAGGGAAGAAGGCGGCGGGCCTCGACCAATACGTCGCTGTATTGTTCGATATTTTGAAGTTGAACGAAGAGACGCTTGTAGTACTCTAGAGCAGGCCTAGTCCCTGTCTCGCTGAGTGGTGGGTGCTTTTCATGTTTGCGTTGTGATTGAAGCTCGGAAGGAGGAGATTGTTGTAGACGTTTGATCTTGCCGTGGGCCCATGAAGCGAGGCGCGCCTTGAGGTGGTGCGAATTATAAGCCGCCCAAACGACAGAAAGGGAGAAAGAGAGCGTGAATAGGGTCGACACTAAGGTCGTCCCGGGCACCCAATTCATGGTCTGGTAAAGTAGTCGAGTACGCAGCGCGTAGAGCGTCTTAGAACTACTTATTTTTTTTTCCTATTTTCTATTTTCGAAGCTCGGCCTTTACCACTCAAAGAAGGTCCCCAGCAATGATACTATATATCCTTAAAAAACGCCAAGTATCTGTACAAAGGTTTGACCCGCGAATGCCATATCTACCTTCAGCTTTGTGTCTCTAATCTAGTCCGTTCAGATCTCGTAGTCTCGCTCTCCTCAACGAAAACGGCTCAACTCCGAGCATCTCTGAGGCCCGTTGGTACACACGGCATTCAAACCTTGCTCACCGTCGTGATCGGCCGCTTTCATAGCATCTCTCTATTGTTCCTGGCGTAGCGGGGAAGCTGAAATGCATGGGACGTGTCCAAAAACCCCCAAAACATGACGAATGATGCTTGATGCTGATGCAGTCAGAAGGCCGGAAGGGGCAAAGGAAAGAAAAAATAAAATGAGATGAAATAAAACAGATATTCATAGGCTCGTGTTCTCGGCGTTTATAACTCGTCGCCTTAATCGATCCGTCCCAGAGAGGGCAAGACGCACTCAATCAGCCAGCCAACGGGTTGATCGACACGCGGGACGAATCGCCTGCGGAAAGATTATCTAAAGTCAGCGCGCCACAAGCACTGCCGTGCCGTAGCGCCACTACGAGTGTGAGGGTAGCTGGCGTGAAACAAAAAGTTCCTTCTCAACATTGCGGTTGGTAAATCGCGGTGGGTGAAATGCAACGGACGAGAACTCACATCTCGGCGAGACGACAATATGAACGAAGAGGCGTCCGTCCAATGCTAACCTGGTTACGAAGTAGATCTACAAGTAAACGGCAAGGAAAGACCTGTCGATCACTTCTTCAGCGGCTTTCTGCAGGTGGGGCCGACAGGGGCAAGGTATTGAGGCGTTCGTCATCGTATGCCTAGAGCGCCAGCGACGATCCTTGGGCCTTCAAACTCTCAAGGATTTTGTATCCCGGATAAGGGACTTTTTATCGGTGCAGTCCCAGAACGAGTCTGGATTCTGAACGCAGGGAAGATCATATGAACTAGAAGGACGGATATTGTGTAAAACGGCCGAGGCTAGTATCATTCCCATAGTAGTCCTTCTACGAAACTCGAACATAACCAAATTGGGCAAGTTAACGCTAACGAAGAATGAGCGTTTCTCGAGAGCTGCCTTTCACCATGTGCGGCAATATTATCGGGGGAAAATTCAGCCTCAATGTTTTCTCCGAACCCACAACAGCCGCTCTAGAAGGAACACTGGGACCGGAGGTAGAAGGACAAATCGTCAGTGATCATAGATTAGCCATGCTATACCACTAAGAGCGGATCAAAGGACGGAGATTAACGACCCCCTGCGCGACTGGAACAGCGTCTATAAATAAGCCATATTACCTACCATATGTACGGAATACGTGCACTCAGTACATCGTGAATACTTTTCAGCAGAACATCACTCTATCTTATTACAAACCTTCCTGAACTCGATCTGATCGAATCCTCCTTTCTACTTTCTGAGAGTCTAGGTGAGATCACAAAATGAAGGTTCGAAACTTCGACAGCAAGAAGACGCTTGACGTTATCACCTACCGGCTCGAGGTACTGTCCTCGAAGCGCATTAGGCAGAAGCTCGCCGCGGGGGAAGATGTAAAAGGGTATTGGGGTAAGCAAGCGTATCTCTATATCTCTACTGCGCACACTTAGTAGATGTGTCCATCCGCTTATTCTTGACTCTAGGAACCGCTCCAACGGGTAAACGTGAGTAGCTCCAAGGTCCCCTCGCTTGGCAGTTGGAAATGTTCTCGTGTCTCAAACTCCTTCATCTCCTAGCACATATCGGGTATTTGGTACCGTTCGTTAAAATCGCCGAGTGCATCGCCGCCGGCATCGACGTAGGTTACTTATCCCTGGCACCACACGGAGGACGTGCCTCTAATCAAATGTTCCGTAGATACAAATTCTAATCGCGGACACGTATGGCTTCCTTGTCAACTATGATGCAACTATGGAGGTCGTCGAGCGCCGCTCGCAATACTACAGCCTTTTGATTACCTCCATTCTCCGGTCTCTCGGCGTCCCTGAGTCTAAAATTTGGATTGAGCGCGAGTCTACCTTTGCCACCACGGAAGCCTTCCGGGGCAATTTTCTGCGGCTGTGTGCCGCGTCGACGCAGGACGACATCAGGTCTGTCGGACTAGAGGTCGCCACAACGTCGATGTTGAGCCCACTGCTCTGTCCACTGTACCAAGCCCTTAGCGAGGTGCATACAGGCTGCGATTTCCAGCTCGGCGGCATGGATCAGGTTCTGTTCATCGTTTGATATTAATATTTTTTTTCTTCCCTCCTCCCGCTTCGTTACAAGCTAACACGTTGAAAACCGTAGCGCGGAATGTTTGCCTACGCGGATAAACTTCTCCCGCGTGTCGGCCATAGACCGGTCTCCCACCTCCTCGCCCCGATGATACCTGGTCTCAAGACAGAGAAGATGTCATCGTCGGCGCCGGAAGACACGAAAATCATGTTTTTCGACTCGGCCGAGGCTGTACGAGCCAAGATTGCTGAGGCCGATGTATCCCCCACGGAGCCAACCCGAAACGCTCTATTGGCGTGCTTAGAGCATATCGTTTTCCCAGTTTACGCCCTGGGGATCATGGCACCTGGTACTCTTCCCGAAGCGGCACTAGCAGGCGGAGTGGCGAAGAGGTATGAGTCGTACAAGGATCTGGAGGAGGACTTCTTCCGGGGGCTCGTTGATGTGGATAGCCTACGGTCGCTTGTCGCAGACACGCTTAACCACATCCTGGAGCCAGTTAGGCAAGAGTACGCGACCAGTAAGGAGTGGCAGGCCGTGGACAGATTTGCATATGGCACGCCTGACGGGCACTAGCAAAAATCCAGCTGGGACGCACACGAATGATGAGACAGAATATTTGGACGTTTCTGCCGGGCGCCGCTCTCGCCGTCAATGTCCTCCGCACAGAGCGTCAGGCATAATGGAAAGTGCATCTTGAAGTACTACTTGCATTTGATGAAATTAAAACTTCTTAAAATAGAAACAGACTTATTTTGGTGTTTCCTTTTTGACGGGGATAGGGATGACTGGCGAGCTGACCACGGAAATTAAAAGATAGTAAGTGCCGGCGCAGGGTGCACTACGCTAGTACTATTACATATATGTCTGTGACTGACTTGACTGGATATTCTTCCAAGGCACTACATATTCTTCTTCAAGACCCAGGCAATCCTTTTCAGTTATTCTCTATCTAATGGTGACACTATGATCTAGCAGGAACGGCTAGGCCCGGGCTCCTCAAGCCGTCCCTGGTCTAAGATAGTAACTAATAAAATGTCTTTCCTCAACCCCATCACCCGGCTGGGAAACACGATGGATGCACGAATGCAAGACACCACCTGTCTCGATCTGCAGTGCATCAGCAACATTCACAAGCGTGCAGCCCTCCCTCGGTTCGACCCAGCCCCACTCCTTTGTCTGCGGGTCTAGGATCTGGCTCGACAGCTGTGGGCACCACAGGAGGGTCAAGATGCCTCCGTCGGTGTGCGTCGTGTCAGGGGCTGCAGAGCGCGTCTCGCTGGTCGGAGCCGAGATGAATTTCAATCCGGAGGGGCTGGGAGCGTCGAGGTCCTGGGCCCACTGCTTGTTCAGGGACCTGGTTAGGGAGGCTAGTAGTTTCTTGGTGACGAAATCTGATTGCTGTGAGAAGCGGGTCAGGGTGGAGGAGTGGGCGGCTAGGACGCCTGGAAAGGCGAGCGTTTCGTTGGAGAGCTCGTCGCGGGCGATCTGCGGCCAAGAGGGCAGGGGTTCAGCTCCCATCTTCATGCATGTCTTCGGAAGCTAACTTGATCTGGTAACATACCTCAAAGGACTCATGCCCGACACCACCCTTGTACCTGTTTTTGTTTCGTCCGTTAGTGTTAGGCCAATAGGGAGAGAAAACAAAATTGGTTGGTACATCTTACCCTCGATCAACGTCAGCACGGAAGTGTGTGTTCTTGATCGCCTTGCCCTGCGCAAAATATTCCTGCGAGAGCTCGAATAGGGCCTCGAGGTCATTCTGCATCCCTGCGGAATTGGGGCCTCGTAAGTCAACGAAGAAGAAGCCGGGCGCTCGTGCGGCCTCCAGGAGCTCCTGGGCAGTCTGCGGATCGTTGGATAAAATTTTCTCAAAGTCGATGGTCTTGAGAGAAGCGACCGGTTCTCCGTGGGGGATGCTAGTAGCGGACATGGTGGTGGTGAACTAAGACGATTTGGGGGATTCTGCGGTTCTGAAAGGTATGATGGGATTGTTTGTCCAAATGAAAAGCAAGAGAACCCGTACTCATTTTATCTCGGCTGTATCTCACATGCCCAAAGAGAGACGGACAGAGCAATGGCCTGGCAAAGTAACATGGCTTCGCGGCTGCACCTGGTTCAGCAAGCCTCCTTCTCAGCCCCTCGCCGATCACCTCTTGCTTTTGGACCGTTGGTCCACCGATCCACCAACCCATTCTCCTCTGGGCGGGGTGCCCGGGACTGCAATGCCGGACTCTGATAAACCACTTGGGCACTTCTGACCCACTCCTTGACGTGGCAGAGGAACGGCAGGCACATCCTCGCCCAAGGCCGTCTTCTTTCCCAGGATATAGAAGTATAGTCGGACCCTCGCTTACTGCCCAGATGAGAAGGGAAGTGAAATTCAACCGACGTTTGCCGGGCAGACGACGCTTCCCTCGCGATGGTCGGTTTGGAGACGTTCCGCGTGGCTGAAACTAATTCGTTCTTTGCTGCTTTCGCTATACGAGAAAGAGGAAACTTCTTGCTCCTCCAGATGTTTGCCCTATTTAGCATAGCGCGGATCGCGTACTCAAATAGGTCTCGGATTTGGAAACTGTCATAAGTGACAGTGGAACGGGCTCGACGAAGTTGACGAACCACCGGGCGGGTATTACACAGAATCGAGGGTCGGATCCAATTCGGGGATTTATATGTAAATCCTGGGCCTGTGGCGCTCTTTTCGCGGCCTGTCCTTGCCTGATTTGGCCTTGGGAAGAGAGCTGAAGGAAGTGATCCTCAGCTCACTCAGCTTGACCGACTTGACGTGCTAGAAAGGAGCTCTCACGTAAGGGTGTTGTAGGATTGAGACAAGGAATCAGACTGGAATTTTCGTTATTATTCGGTCATGGTGGTCGTTAGTTTGCTACAGAACAAGGACAAATGCCGATTTAACCCAATTCCTGCCCAGCTATTCCCATCGCTCCAGTCTGCTTCTCCGCCAGTGAACGACATATCTTGCCAGAGAAGATGTCGGGAATCTTTTGCGATGACAGCGGTCAGGACTGGAGCGATGATGTTAGAAGCATCCAGTCCGCGCCCACGGAACGAACTGCACTCATAAAACGGCCGTCTTTAAGCAATGATGCCAAGGAAATCCTTGCCGGGGATGGCTGTGGAAAACCGACTGCGGGCAACATCCCGCTGTTGAGGGTGGCCCTCATCATGGGAGCCGCGTGGTTCGGCTGCTTGATAGCAGCGATTGACTCGACCATCATGGCCACTCTCGCGGGCCCCATCTCGAGTGAATTCAAATCTCTCAGCTTGCTCTCGTGGCTGACGACGGCATACTTCGTCGCTAGCGCCACCGTCCAGCCCATCTCCGGTCGCCTAACTGACATCTTTGGAAGAGGCCCCGGCCTCGTCCTGAGCGACGTCGTCTTCGCCGTCGGGAACCTCATATGCGCCATGGCAACAAATCAATACGTGATGATCTTCGGCCGTGTTGTCGCTGGTGCCGGAGGTGGAGGGCTGCTGAGCATTTCAACCTTTCTGGGATCCGACCTTATCCCTCTCCGTCAAAGAGGGGTGGCTCAGGGCATCGGGCAGCTATGCTACGCTACGGGATCCATGCTCGGTGGCATTATGGGGGGCTTGTTCAATGATCACATCGGCTGGAGAATAGCGTTCTACGTCCAGGTGCCGCCTGCGATATTCTGCGCATTTGCCATCTATTTTCTGGTAAAAGCGCCCCCGGAAAAGGAGTCAGATACTTCCTACCTCAAACGCATCGACTTCGTCGGGGTCTTTCTCATCGCGTCGTTTCTAATTCTCTTGTTGCTCGGTCTTAGCGCCGGGGGCAACATCGTTCCTTGGAGCCACCCTCTCCCACTCACGACCATCCCGGTGTCCCTATTCTTCCTTGCGGGTTTTATCAAGTGGGAGTCGACAATTGCGGAACCGGTCATCCCTGTGAAGCTCATGCTTAACCGGACCGTCTTTTCCGGATGTGCTACTAACCTCCTCGCGACCGTTCCTTTTATGGCGGGCATCCTTTATCTACCCCTATACCTCCAAGTACGTGGGAGCTCCGCAACCGATGCAGGACTTCAACTGTCGCCCTCACCGTTTGGCATCGCTGTGGGCTCTCTCGGGGCAGGTTATATCGTGAAGCGCACAGGAAAATACGTCGGTCTGGGGATCTTGAGTCAAGCCGTCTTGACGTCTGGTACTCTCCTCTTGAACCTTTTGAGCTCACAGAGTCCAAACTGGTTGCTGAGTGGAGCGTTTATTCTTGTGAGCTTCGGTGCTGGAAGCATGTCGACGATTACATTGATTGCGTGCACTGCTGCTTTGGATCATTCTGATCATGCCGTCGTTACATCTGCTATCTGTAAGTAAGAACCCGCATCGTGCTCCTGACTCTTTCAACCTCGTATATATATATATATGTATACATCATCGCTAACCACCATCTCCCAGATCTCGCTCGCGGACTAGGCAGCACGCTCGGTGTGACAGCCGCATCAGCAATTTATCAAAATATCCTGAACACGCGTCTCTGGGAACGATTTGGGAGCGAGACGAATGCAGCCGAGAGGATTGGTAGGATCCTAGAGGACCTGGAGGAGCTGAAGAGGCTTGAGGGCCACTGGCACGAGGGTGCGATGCAATCCTTCATGGAGGGGTTCAAGGGCGTCTGGGTCATGTTTTTGTGTGTTGCAGTCCTGGCTTTGCTGTGCATCTCGAGGATGCAGCAGTACGAACTTCACTCCACCTTGGACAGGAAGTCCAGGGAATAGCTGCGTGCACGAGGGTCGGGGTTGATTGCAGCTCGAGTCGACTGGATCACCGTAGGAAGGAGTTAGCTCGGCTGTCTCTAAAATGCGAGAGAGAAAAGACGTAGGTACATAACTAGTATAAGCGAGTTATATTAGTCCTTGTATATTCTAATGTAGACTATCTTCGTTAGCTACACTTTCCTCAAAGCTAGGGAAGGAAATGTATAATGTAGTTGAAAAAAAGAAGAGTGATATATTATTATTATTGTATAGTCTACTAATTCTATGCCACTGGCCTAATGGGAAATAGGTTGTTACACACGCTGAAGAGACCTGTAGGGCCCTCTATTAAGCCAAGGGATCCCATCGCTAAGGATCAACAGCGGCATAAAATAGTACATAGTTATTTGTCACTCCGTAGGCTGTCTCATGCGCACTTTCGAATGAGATTGAATGCTGGCAGACTCCCATGCAAGGAGGCGCGGCTGGGAGCCTGAGAGGTCATCAACCTGGGGCCGTACGCAATCCAAGACGTCAACAAGATTGGACAGGTTTCCGCTCTACGAGCAGGTTGACTGATCTTCGCACCGACAAGTAGTAGGTGACTTTTTATTTTCGATTTTCTTTCAGCCAGGGCATCTCTTAAAACACGAGCCTGTGCCAAAAGAAAGATGGGGAGGTGCCTGACCGCATGTGAGGGGAGTCTCCGCGACGCTATGTCCTTGGACCCAATATCGCCGACGGTTTCACAGATGAACTCCTTCGGAAGTTTGAAAAGTACCTCTGTGTCTGACTTGCTGCTACTACTGACGTCGGCAGTAATGGTGGCCGCACTCTCGTCCTCGCCCTCCTCTTTGTCCTTGCTGCCCCCTTTGGACGGGAACAAGCTGACATTCACCTCGAGAGAGCCGCGGGCGGTGGACTGCGCTGCGGTGACGATGGGCGTCATGACTCACGACTAGGATCCAACTCTTGAGGTTCTATGATCGTTTATGTACTCAAATGAGGCCATCAGAGGTTTGGTGGCCTGGGGGCAGTGGATTTTGAGTTATTCTTTTCGCCAGCTTCAAATATACACGCTAGCTGCCGGTGTGGGCAGCTCAGACCAGTCGTGTTATTTTGATTGCGGTTGTTATTGTTCATTTGATCTTGATAAGGTGAGGCTGGCTCTGGCCGAGTGTTTTACATTTACATGCAAGTATCTAGAATTCATTGTCGGTGCGTGACTTCGCCCCATTTCTTCTCGACGCCGTTCTGACTAGGGAATTCTACCAGGCTTCAACCTTGTTGGAGAGGAGAATAAAGGAAGGCTCCTTATGGATTTCTTTGAACCGCTTCTCGATTTTAAGAAAGCTGCTCTTGAAGTTGTTTTCAGCCCCAAAACCACGCACCATCCTACTGAAGATGGAGACTGCCAATTGACAGCTGCTGAAGACAGCTGCAGCTAGCTGACAGCAGCTGTCAGTGCCGGCATGGGGAGAAACTTTCAGCCGGAACTGAAAGCTGGGGTCGGTGTGTGGATTGGAGACTTCCTTGGAAACGGAAACAAGTCCACTTTCGGGCCAACGTTAAAGTCCGAACCCCGCGTTCTGGCAGAAACAGACGGTTATATTGATGATGCCCGCACCGCTCGCAATGCTCTTTGTTGAGTGGTCAGCTGATGGCTTGAAATAAAACAACCTCTTCTCACCATCCGTTTCCTTCCTTTGCAGTCTGCCTTTCACTTCCCACCACTCCTCATCTGCCTCCTCCTTGCCTGCACATCATGGCTCGTATGAAGAAAACATCGAGGAAGCACTCTGTGCCACGGGTAATAACTTGGACGCGCTTCCACCTACCACAGGAGCAGTTGCCAACATGGTCCACAGACCAGACCCCAGACTCCATCAATGTCCATCATGGCCCACTTATGGGTGCTAGCGGTTGGCTGCGGGTATGGCTGGGAAGAAGAGTCGATGACCCCGAACAGGCTGCCTACATTATCGGTAAATGCTAATTATATCAGAAAACATAAAGGGTTGAATATTTGTAACTAACCTTGGCATATAACTTACACAGAATGGCTCAGCTGGGATGACCTGAAGAACTTCCAGTCTTCTCCTGCTTGTGTAGAGTTTTTGCGGAACCTCCCTGAACACAATAACTCGCAAGTCTCTATCGATTCCAGCTTAGGACTAGGGAAGATGACTTTGAGTGAAGCCTCTTTGTTATCATCAACTACATCACCGCGCTTCCTCTTGCTCAGCCCCATTAAGACTATGACACCAACACCAGATGTAGAGGGCCGTGTGACCTTCACTACCTTTCTAGTGCCAGGCAAAGTCGATTGTGTATACAGCCTATGGTCAGATCATTTCGAGAGCAAGTTTTACTCATTTATACCCCGTGGCTATGAATCTATAACATTTAATAGCCGCTGGCGTACACTTTCAGCTGCCTGGTTCCATGTGCTTTCGGAAGACAGCTGGGTGGAGAAGAAGTTTGGGAAGCTAGAGGAGCAGGGTGGTCGGACAATCATTTGTCAATTTCACCTATGGCCATGTAAGTTGGGTGGCACCCCAGAGAAAGAAGCAGCATCGGTGGCAGACCCCGAGGGGAGGGAGCGTTGGAATCAAGCTATAGCGCAGGTCATGCCGCCGGCCACAGCCTGGGTGCAGGAGCGCTGGGATATTCACCGATTGCTGGATTGTGACCCCGACTCTCCTCTAGAGGACCTAGAATTTGAAAGAGAAAGACAGGAATATTGTAAGCAGAGTGAAAGGCTTCGAGAATGAGGTGAGTCGCTGGAGGAAATCAATGGCCTAACTTATGAAGGATGTTTATATTCTTTATTCTTGAATGTATATATCGGATGTAAAGGACAGGAAAGATATTTACAGCATAGAGATGCTAACATGCTAACAAATTGTACTCTATATTCTTACTCCAGTACGAGTACCGAAGCAAACATCCTCCTAGCCTCCTCTAATTCCACTCACCGGGATGCCCGGGATGCCCGGAATGCCGTCAAATGCGTGCTACCTGGTTAGCCGAGAGACTGTGGGACTTGCATCGTGCAAAGGCTTGCTGGAGAAGGACACCAAGAGGTTGGGTTTGTTTATAGGAGGGTATCAGCTGGCACGAATGGAGATTCACCGGGCCCTAGAAGGCAGAACTCTGCTATGTTTTTGTTTTTCCTAAAAAAAAAAAAAAAAATTCAAGGACTTGCTGCTGGGCAAATCCTATATACTAGCAGGTGCATGAGCTCTTTGTAAATAGAGATAATGTAAATTACATTACTTTTTCTACAGTGATCACGCGAGCACTATCCTGATACGCAAAATTATTAAGAAGCGATGATATGCATAAAAAGAGTCGATCCTCCGAGCCTGCGGCACAGCGTTTGGATGTAACCTAATCTTAAAAGATAAAAATAGGTCTATGAGTGCATGTCTTGATAACAAGGAGACGCATCTTACATCTCATTCTCAACTCTGAATCAATCACGGCGGCCAAGGCCATCTTTCGAGACCCTTTGCCCACTTCGATAGGGACGTATTTGTCAACCTTCATTGTGTCCTCTATCTCTCCTCCCCCTTTCCCACCCAAGTGCAACCATGGATGCCGAGACGATCCTTCGGCCACCGTCTCTCAGCGACGTTAGACCTAAGATGGCGAGATCATTACTTCCACCGGCTGCCCAGGATATCGGCTCTAGCACGAACGAGGGGCACGCGATCAATGACCCCAAAGAGCTCGATGCCGAGCCTTCCGGCCCTAATAATACGCAGCCGCGGGAGACGGAGAGTTGCCCGATACAATTGGTCTCGCTTGCAGCCGCCAACCCCACTTCCCCAGGAGAGGAGCTTCCGGGAGCGGAAGGGGCAGAAACAACAAATAAGCCCTCACGCGGAGCCATCGCCTTGATCATGGCTCCGCTTTGCCTGTCCGTCACGCTATCAGCCCTAGATCTCACCATCGTGACTCCGGCCATCCCGGCCATTGTGGGCGACTTCGAATCTCCATCGGGCTACATCTGGGTGGGCAGTGCCTTTATCCTGGCCTACACGGCCATCACGCCTGTGTGGGGGTCTGTGGCCGACATTTGGGGCCGGAAGCCCATCATGCTGATTGCGCTGTCCATCTTCCTTGTTGCGAGTCTTCTCTGCGCGCTGGCTCCTACCATGGACGCATTGATCGTTGGTCGCACCATTCAGGGTCTTGGCGCGTCGGGGATAGGCATGATGGTCAATATCATCATTTGCGATACTTTTTCGTTGAGGGACAGGGCGTTGTATTTGGCTATCACGTCTATTGTTTGGGCCGTGGGAAGCGCCGTGGGCCCGGTCCTCGGCGGTGTTTTCACTACCGAATTGAGGTGAGTGGTATATTTTATGCATGAATGGCGCTTCGGTGCTTTTTAATCCAGGCGGTCTAGTGGCTGACGGTGGCCCTCGCAGCTGGAGGTGGTGCTTCTGGATCAACTGTAGGTCACATATAGTATCTTCCCTCTGCCGTGGCACTTGTTTACTTCATGGTACTAATTCTTTCTTCTCAGTGCCTATTGGCGCTGCCGTCTTCTTCGTGCTGTTCTTCTTTTTGAAGGTCCCTAACCCCAACACCCCAGTCTTATCCGGGCTCAAGGCTATCGACTGGACCGGAAGTGTCCTCATCATGGGTGGCACTTTGATGATTCTCCTCGGTCTTGATTTTGGCGACGTCACATTCCCCTGGTCATCCGCCACCGTCATCAACCTCATCGTATTTGGCACAGTGGTCGTCGGCATCTTCCTCATCAACGAGTGGAAGCTCGCTCGAAACCCCGTCATCCCATTACGGCTGTTCGCTAGCAGATCGACGGTGGCGGCTTACGGCGTCTTCGCCTTCAACTCGTACGTTTTCATGGGCCTGGCCTACTACCTACCCCTATACTCACAGTCGGTGCTCGCATCCAACGCCCTCTCCTCTGGCGTCCACCTCCTACCCCTCATTATTTCGTCGTCCCTCGCAGCCGCCTTCGCAGGGGTATTCATTCAGAAAACGGGAAAGTACCTACCCGTCATGTACTTTGCTCAGGTGGCCCTCACTCTCGGCATCGGACTCTTCCTCAACCTAGAGTTCGAGAAGGACCTAAAGAAACTGTTCGTCTTCGAGATCCTCGCCGGTATCGGCGTCGGCATGAACATCGAGGGTCCCCTCCTCGCTGCCCAGGCCGCGGCCACCGAGCTCGACACAGCGGCTGTCATCGCTACTATGGGCTTCGGCCGGTCCATCGCCACGGCCGTGTCCGTCGTGGTTGGCGGTGTCATCTTCCAGAACGAAATGAATGTGAAGAATCCGCGACTTGTTGATCAGTTGGGGCCGCAGCTTGCTGCCAATTTTAGCGGCGAGCAAGCTTCGGCTCATGTCGATCTCATCCGGACTCTCCCCGAAGAGCAGCAGGACGTTATTAGGCGGACGTATTTTGATGCATTGAGGACAGTGTGGATCATGGTATGTCGAGTTCAGCTTCATCCTCACTTGGAGTACATGCATCTGACACTGACTTCTCTCCTACTCGCTAGTATGTCGCATTTGCAGGATTCTCGACGATTCTAAACTTCTTGATCCGCGGCCACCATCTAAGCCGTGAAACAAAGGAGGTGATACTTGGCGTAGATAGGAGCAAGGCAAGTCAACAACCAGAACAGCCAGAATCTAGCATTAGACAACCGGGCGACCAGGCTGCTTCAGTTGAAGGTGATGGGGTCAGGCGAAGGCAGGCAGGAAATGTCTTGGCCTCTTAAGCATATTAAGTTGGCCAACCCCGCTTCCGCCCACCCCTTTTTTTTTCTGTCCTCTATTCTCCCTCATTTCGCGTCGCCTCGCCGTCCTCGTTTCCTTCTGCCGCCTCCAAGTGCATTTGAAGTAAGACGAGTATACTGGACTGGTTCTGGGTATGATCGATATTGGTCAAGACTGCTTGATGTCCCCGAGTTATCGACTTGAGGGCGAGCCGACTGAGAAGATCGAAGATAGTTCGAGCGCATCAGGTCGCGCACCTAGGACCTGATTGTCTCGGGCGCCGCCATTATGACACGCGGTGGAGGTGATAGAATAGTTTGGAGGTGCCAGTGAGGGAAAGGCCACGGGAGCCGCAGGACAAAGAGCCATGGGTGAGGCTGAGGCGGATGCTGGAGGCTGCGCGCAGCGCGTAAGGAGTACCGGGGACCGAATCCCGCCTCCGCCGGCAGGAGACGGCACCTCAGTTTGATTAACGGTTATAGGTACTTGATAGATAGGTAGCGAAAGTTCCAGAAATAGAGAAATATCTCGCGCCGTCTCACTCTCCAATGTAGCTTGAGAGCCAACATTCCCTCTCAAGCAGACCGCAAGTACATAGGCAGAGCCATATTAACATGTACCCTTAGGGTCTATACCCTATAAAGCCTACGGGCTGGTTAATTAGCCAATTAGTGAGTCAATCAAGCAGTCAGCCAAACTCAGTCTAGCCCAAGATCCAGTCCGGTTCGAGGCGTCTAGTCCATTCCATGGTATGCAGGAAGTTTAAGTAGAAAGCTGACGTCTTAGGCCCGGGTCTTGGCAGATAGGTAGATGGGAGATGAAGATGGCAGGTGGAAAATATAAACCACTGGCGGCTTAGAAGTCCTGGTTTCGTCGTCGTCGTCGGTCCGGGTTCGCTGTATGGGGTATCTAATACATCTGGTGGAACAACTCGGTTTTGGCAACTAAGTCCCGTCGAAACTTATTTGGCAGTTCCATCCACCCACGGTGTGCACTCTGAATTTACAGAACCGGGACGGTCTGGGAAGGGTCGGTGTGAGATTCTTGAGAATTGCCCTCGAGTTTGATCGCGATACAGTCCTAGGATCACTAATAGTCTTCGAGCCCTCCATAACTGACACATGCCACTCAATCGAAGGGCATTTCGCACCGCATTGATAGCTGGAAAGAGATTGGTGATGACATTAAAGAAACCACACAAAGCTGTCGACTGTGGCGCTCAACTATTATAATAAATGAAAGCTCCAAATTTGATGAAAAAAAAAAAGAAGAAAAAAAAGAAAGAAAATCTGTTCTTAGCCAAGACTAAGAGAACCCAGTCAATGTTCTTGTACTTTCTCCGTTAATATCGCTGCCCTACTCCTGGCTGTTTACTTCAACATCGACAGAGCTGCTAGCAGCATGTTGGTGTCCCCAGTGAACGGGCTGGATAGCCATATAGGCATGTCGCATATCGATTAAACAACAGAAAGGTCCATCATACTGATTCTCTTCGAGCCAACGCTGCATTGGATGGGCCCCTACCAGCATCCGGCTTCTTTCCGCGACGTTCTGCAAAGCTGCATTCTCGATCCTCTCTTCACCCAACGAACTCATTTTGCACCCGGATTGATGCTCGGGGGAGGGTTGCTTGTGCTCCGGGTTCTGCTTCTCGCATTTCTGAAGAATGGGAGGCTCGGGCTCCTTCGCGGGGCGTGGCATCTGATGTCAGAGCAGAAGGATTAGCACGCATCGGTTAGGAATAAAAAAAGAAGAACGGATTTCAATACCTGTTGTTGGCTCATGTTTTGGGTATATGGGTAGAATGTAGAGAGGCTGGAAGTATGCTATGATTGACGAACGAAAGAGGTGGTCCAGTGATTCGCAAAGAAAGCACCTTTCATATAAAAGTCTGGGTCTAGAACGGGCTTGGATTTTGCAGTTTGCGAGTGACGATGAATCCTCAGTCGGCTTCTAGGTAGATAGGCCCGGTATTTATGTACGTTCCAGGAGCAACTACGACTCTTTGGCTGGCACACCGATAGGTCAGGACAGAACCGGGCTCTGGACCGCTTCGGTGCCCCTTTACCACCAGATATATGTTCCGGACGGCCATCTCGCCCCGTTTTCTACCTGGTCATCTCCTATTTCCCCATCAGAAGATATCCTGTTGGCGTGTAACTATTTCTGAAAATCGAAGGGATCACCTTGCGGTAAGCGGATTGTGGTCACTGCCAATCAAAGTGTAGCACGCTGCTCCTCGGGGTGCGGCAGAGCCAATGGCATCCGTTGGTTTGACTCTTGTGACCATCGGGCTATTCTTCACTTTCACGCATTCAACAGACTGCATTTTCCGATCGGAATCAGCGCTGCAAGCAAAATTCCCTTGCCTTCAAACCCGCAGCTATAGATTCTCAGACGTGGCAGAAGGATGAGGCCGGATGTTCAGTAGTACACTTCTCATTGAGAACTCTTGTGAATAAGGACCGACTTAGACTCAACCATGGAATGTACTAACTGGCATCATCTCCTGTCTTTTAGTAATACCTGTTAGACAACCACTAGGGCAAGATAATAGGACAACGCCAGCTACCTATGTAGCTACTCTAACCCTATAATATTGCAGGCTATCTTGGTTCCAATAATACCGTGTACTGAGAAAGCAATGCTTGGGTCTAGATCCAAAGACCGTAACCCATTGGCACCTCAATCATCGTGTTTCAACATTACTGCCAGGAAATGAATTCCTCGAATGCGCTTCTACCCAAATCCAAGCCATGATCAGCATCATTTATATCTTCCACTCCCTCCTGCAAAACCTGAATCGGCTGGCAAGATGACCTCAACAGGTCCACAACGGCAAGGTGGCCATTCTTCCTGGCCTTGTCCATTGCCCGCTCATACTGTTCCCGATATTCTCCCTCGATCTTCACCCCAGACTGTAATAAAAGCTTTACTGTGTCAAGACGACCATTCTCGGCTGCACCTTCCAGAGCCATTCTCCCATTCTTTCTCGCAGGGGGAGCGTTTACATCTGCACCCTGTCGCAAAAGAAGATCAACGATTCCAGCATAGCCGTGGATCGAGGCGAATTGCAGCGCAGTGGCACCCCCTCTTCCTGCCGCCGGGGTATTAATGTCCGCGCCGAGATTAATCAAGTATTCAACGATGGTGAAATCGCCGACTTCAGCGGCTTTTTGCAGCAGTGTTCTCTTGATGCCGTGAATTGGACGCGCATTTATATCCACGCCTCTTTCCGTGAAGAAGCGGACCGTTTCCAGTTGCTTGGCGCCGATAGAGACCAAAACTGCAGTTTCCGAAAATACCATGGGCAATCCGTCCTCCTGGTTGACGACTGTCTTTCGGATGACGGCGTTGATATCAATCCCCGTAGCATCCAGCATTAAATGAATGATTGCCAAGCTCGTCTCCTTTTCTGATTCTATCGCATCAACCAGCGGAGTTTTATGATCCATTAGGCTGCTATTCGTACCGTAGGAGTCCCAGGTACTAAAGGAGATGTTATGCTGGAGTAGTAGTTCCACAAGAGCTGCGTCTCCATTTACCACGGCTTGCCTCATCGTCTCAATCCCGAAAATACCCTTTCCACGGGGATATCTTTCGCGGAATCGCTGGAGAAGGAGTCGAGTGAGGTCCATTTTGTTCGAAGACACTGCATTTTCCAGAGCTCGAGTATCCGCTGGATCCGCTCCGCATGAGAGTAAGAACGATACCATAGCCTCACCACCCTCAGTTACGGCTACACTGAGAGGCGTCTCGCACCTCGTGTCCTCGCATATCCCGGCAGGATCGACCGTGGCTCCGCGCGAAAGCAAGAAGTCAACTATCTCTTGAGCCCCAGACTTATCGCCGCCTCTAGTGGCGATGCAGACAAATAGGTTGGAGATGCTCTGTTCACAGGGGTGCCTGCCAGGACGAGCTCCTTGATAATGCCGAGGTTCCCCCACTCAACAGCGACTACTAGAAAGTTGACGTCCGTGAGGAATATGTCGGGCGAGTCCAATGGAGCCCGCACGATAGTCTCGTTCTTACTCTGGAGAGCATTGAGTAGAGGAGAACCTATAAGGCCGTCCTTCTGCCAGTAAGCCTCCCGATTGACATCTGCACCCAAATCAAGAAGCGCCAACGCGAGTTTTTCCCGGCCCGCCATGATAGCTGCTATCAGTCCCGCGGTTAATGCATTCCAATGGCATCGAGTAACCCCCAAATTCAGCAGTCTCTGAGCCAGATCAAAATCGCGTACGAGGAACGACGCTTCCAGGGCAGCACAACAGTTGTCAGAGTCCATCATATGTTCTTGAGTATTAGCGAACTCGAAGAGGCGGGTGATCTCAGGTTTGTTGAGACGTATAGCTTTGGAAAGTGGTGTTGAACCCCACGAGGTGCGGACGTCAGCCCTTGCTCCCTGTTTAAGAAGAAACAGAATGAGTTCTTCGTTCTGACTCTCCACAGCCAAAGCTAGAGTGTTTCTGGTTAATGAAAACTTCTTTGTATTAAGAAGTAGTTGAACCAACTCTAAATTCCCTCGTCGAGCGGCCATTTCGATCAATAAGTCTCCTGAATCTGAGAATTCTGTATCTTGATTAATGGTTGGATCGACGGCAGGGCTCAATAGTACCCTCTCGAACACTTTGACTGCAGTTTCCGGGGTGAGAAACTTGAGGCACTTATGAAATATACCCATCCCGAAACACTTTAGGTGATTTGTTGGAGTTCCAGCTTCAACTAGCATCTCAAAGACAGCTGGGCAAGTGACTGCCTCGTAATTAACAATGCTAGGGTCCACACTTGCACCAGCGTCGATAAAAAGGCGGACAAGATCCTGGAGGCCTGGATCCTGGTTTGCAGAACGAGGCTGGAAACGATGGCGTCCGAGACATAGAGAAAGAGCGCCGTGAGTGCCATTATGTTCTCTTTCCATGAGCAGCCTATTGACGTCTGCCTTGTGTCGAAGAAGGACATGAATAACTTCTTTGTCCCGACACATGGCGGCCATCTCAAT